AATGTGACATGAGCCATAGGCTACCCCAAGAAACAGCTCTCTTTCCCCTTCAGAATCAAATATCTGTCATTACTTAAGCTTTTTTTTCAAGAATTTTAAGATTTGATCTAACTGGAAAGGTGTCTTTTCTGGTAGTGGCATTTTTATTTTTTTTTCCATTTTAAAGGCATTGCAGCATCTGAAACTTCAGCTTAATTAGAGTCACTTTCTGAGATGGCTGAGTATGCCTAACTTTCCCTTAAGATGATGTATTCTGGTAGAGTGCATGAGACTTGTCACATAATGCCAGTGGTTTGAAAATTTGTGAACTTTGCTTGTGATTGCTTAAAAGTTAATGTTTGATAAATACATACACACTGACTAATAAAGATTATAAGGACTATCAGGGGTGTGGCTGAAAAGTGTAAAGAATGTCAACCATTTATAAGTAGCCACATTTTAATTTCTATTATATTAATTATTTTTTGCTAATATACATATACCCCTGGAAAACAGGATCTCCCATTCCACCCACCCTTCCAAGTGTTCTGTTAGACTGGGGTCCAAGGTACTCTTGGAGAATTATTTCCTTCACTGTCTACAGTAACTCCTTGACTTAGAGACACAGTCTATTTGTGGATGTCTTCCACATATGCAGTAATGACAGCCATGTCTATACTGCTGAGATTTTTGATAAATGTGGTTGTCTGCTTATCAGCCTACCTTCCCAGAATTTATATTGAATTTCAAATCTTACATTCATTCAAGTAGCTACCATCTAGAACCTTAATAAATGAATGCTTAGTAATGACAGCATGTTAAGCCTAGCCATCAGACATTGCAGGACTGCAGGCAGAAGTAAGGGCCTTTCAGAGTTTTTCTACTGGGCCTCCCCCATCAGTATCTCTGGAAGAACTAACAATTACATCCTTGAAAACTAGAACAGATATGTGCTATTATTTCTAAGTCCCCTGTTTTTCTCTTACCACTGTCCACCCAGCTGCAGCCAGGGAAACAGGGGAGATAGTATAGCATGGAACAGAGGAACTAAAAACAAGGCTCTTTCCCTTGGTGAGATGGAAGTTCAGCTTTATTCTTGTTCTTGGGATCCTGTGGAGAAGGAAAGCAGGAGGAAAAGAGGAAGAATATTGATAAGCGTGTCTTTTTGAAGGCAGGGGGAAGAGGGTGGATTACTTTCACACAACCAATAAGGCGAACTGGGGAGAAAGAGATAAGGGAAAGAAACTTACATTCTACATTTCGGGGGTACATTCTCTCGGGTCATACCATTTTTTCTAAATGCATTACAACAGATATGTGCATCTGTTTTTGTTCTACAGGTTCAAAAAAGAGTCAGTGACCATACACTTTACAACACTGTGGTTTTTATCTGAACCCTGGTTTACGGCAATTCACAGAAATAAAAATAATGCAGGGCTGCTTTTAAATTGGCTTTTGGGTGGTATCTCATGTACCATTAGTCCAGTCTCTTGATGGATGACCATTGGTTAGCATGATTGAAATTTATTGCTGGAAAGGATAATTAGATAACGTGTAATAGCTTTAAATATGCTTGATATTATTAGAGTTAGAAAAATATGGAACTGATAGTAGCATAAAATGATACCAAAGCTAAAATATAGAACCTCAGCAATTACTTTATGGTTATGTAAACTGAATAAGCTGAAAATGAGATGAAACTGTCGAGGTGGTCTACTTGCTGGAACCAAGCTTCCTGGCTCTTAATGACTTTGTCCTTTCCATAGTGCTGAGCAAGGTTTGCATCCTGCTGTTTCTTCTTGTGTCTCATTTCTAATGGCTTCAAGACTTTTTCACACTATAATTGGTTTCACTGGAAATATCTCTCAAAAAGCAAACAAAAAATGGGGGAAAACCACCACATTTGTATGGGCTGATATATTTTTGTACACAATTAACTTAATGTGTTGGGAAGAGTTTTTTACAACGAAGTAATTGACTTGACTTTTTTTACATATTTTATTCAGATTTAGTATCTAATTAGGAAATCTTTTTCAACTAAATCTTTATGACCTTCAAGTAAACTAAACACAAGGAGAAGGCTGTGCACCAAGCAATTGCTGTAAGTAATCAACAGAATGAAAGTACATATAGTACTTATACAGCTCCCTCAGTTACTCAGCGTAATTCAGTACTTGATAATTTTGCAACAAAAATTGCTTTCATGGAATATCTTTCAGACTTCATCTCCTTACAGATGCTTCTGAGTATTTGCAGCTTCTGAGCACTCACTAACTCTAAAAACTCCGCTATTCAGGGAAACTACTAATACCATCTTACCAACAAAGGAATTCAAATGCTACTGGAGAGTGACTGGAGATACAAGTCTATAAATGACTTGAATATAAAATTCTCTTAGCTTTTGCTTTATTCATCTTCTAAAGATGAAACCTTTAGAATCTTCTCACAAAGAGAAACTTAATTTTGTTTTCATTTGCAGAGAAAGGGGCATTTTGCATTCTACACTTGCTGTCTGCTCTCTTGTTCTCTGTGATGGTGGGATAGCAGTAAAGTACTAATCTGTGGCCCACTCTGGGTATCCACTGGTTGAGAGTGGGTTAAGCCTGGAAAGACATGAATGAGCTTGAAAGTATCCAACAGAAAGAAGACAAACATGTAGTAGGTAGTGAGAGCGACTAAATACAAACTCCTGCACAAAACTTGATGTTGCTACAGCAGATAATTGCTACTCAAGTACAAAATAAGCTCATTAGAAGAAGCTCCTGGCTTTAAAAGGTTTACTTATGTCATTCCAGAGATAAGACAGAATGACCCCAAAATCTCTCACCTCTAGACTACAAAGACAGGAAGCGATCAAACAAAAAATCAACCAGCAATAGCAAAAACAAAATTGGATCATTATCCAGTCATACACTGACTGAACTGGCACCTAATGGCAAACTGTCTCTGTCCTGTACAACTTCTGAAGCTGCTTTTTGCAGCCAAAACCATCCACAACCCTTAAGTGTGAATCGTGATTAATTTCAGCCACAGTTTTGTGGCTATAACAGCTGTGGCTATAACATCTAGCAGAAGAATCACATTCCTTTAATAACCTAACCCTACATTATCACCTTTCCCTTGGATTAATCCATTAGAAAGACCCCAGCAAGAAGGATGGTCAAGAAGAACGACAAAACTAATGGCAACAGCCATAAACTGTACAGACCTTTCCTGAAGGGACATAGAAACATCAAGACCCCCCAGACATCTGCTTTGAACTTCCTTCCAGGCATCTTTGTTGTGGAACTATCAGCACTGTAGATTAAAAAATTGTGGGTTTTAAAAATTGTATTCTATTCTCTACTCTGAAGAGACTTTGTAAATGCTGGCCAGACATACATGGAGCTGTGCTACAGGTAGGGGAAAAATTTTACCTGTGTTACAGAAATGCTGCTTGCAATACTAAGGTCACAGTGCTCCAACACGATCCTGCTGCAGAGATGAGCATGCTCTGATGCACTGTGTTGTGCGGTGTTGCCCTCAATTAACCGAAGGCGCTTTTCCCCAGGGGCTGCCAATTCATGTTTGCTGCAGCTCACACTGAATTAACACACAATGAAATCGAAAGATTCTTCCAGGATGAACAGCCTGCTGAATCATCTGTCGTTGCACTGTGCTGCTGTACTCATTACGACATTTGATTTCATTTGTACCGTGCTAATTGTGAAAAATATACTGTCAGACCCTTGCTTTGGGGCACAAAAGACCAACAAAGCAAAACGCTGCTGTCTTTTGGGGCAATCAAAATACAACACGTAAGATAAATTTGGAATGGCTTGCAGGTGCTGCAGAGTAGGGAGCTAAAAAGGTTTTAATCCTTGTTTAGAACTTTGTGTTTTGGGGGGTTGGAGGAGGGAGGAAGGTGAAGTTTTTTAATATCCGATTTGCACAAGCATATTGTGTGAAGGAATCGTTTAACATACATAATCCTTTTCCCTTTTGATCTTCATACATTCCCCAATAAGAAAAGGATAATGAAGTCAGGTCCATGTTGTAAGGGGCACTGTTTGCTAGAAGAAAAGCAGTTACTCAGATCATTAACCTGAGCAGTGAAAACAGTAAGTGGCATCTTATAAGCACCTATAAGGAACTATCAAGCAGCCACACTGGATTAAAAACTGAAGTTGCATTATTCATTTCTGTTCCAGTTCATATAGAAATAGGCTCCTTTCCTATGCAATTTTGAAATTACTTTGAGTTAATAATATGGCATTCAAAAATTCTGAACAGTTGTGTTTAAACTGCTAAGACAATTTTCTTTTCTGCTGCCTTTCTAAGTTTAGTAATGACAGCTGGAAAGACATAAATACCGCAGATCAAAGGATGGAATTTCCCTCTAAATTCTTGCGTTTTGGCAGCAAGTAAAATCTTAACTAATGAGAATTATTGGTAACTAAGATTCCCTTTTAAATACTTAGTGATGAATTTCCAGTAATATAAAATGAAAATGGACAAAATAAAATTTCGTAAGATGCTGCTGCATCTATTCAGCCAATAATGTTTTTGCACTTCACACCATGTGACAGCAATTAATGAGTGTTTCTGTCACCTACAGAATGCTCTGTGGGGGAACTGTGGGCACACTTCTCTAAGCTCCCCAGCATCCACCTTCACCAGCTTCAACAGTCAAAGATGAGGGTGGAGAAGTAACAAATACTAAAAAAAAAAGATATAAGATTCAGAAGCATGTTTAGGGTTGCCCCTTAAGCTAAAGACATCTCTCTAATATATCAAAGAAACATGAAAAGATTTCAAAGGTCTGCTTCAGGATGTGCCATTTCAGATTGCCTTAACATCCCACATTTTTTAAAGGTCTTTTAAAAAGGTCAGGTTTGGAATTCATGCAAATTTATTCCTTTTAGCTAAAACACAAAGTATGACAGAAAGCCTTCATTTGTTGTTGGTAGTGGTATTTCCTGTAGTTAGATTGATCCAAATACTTATTTAGCAACAGTGTTTATGTGGTAGCACATGTAATCACCCCATCAATGCCTTGTTCTCAACTACTAGTTCTTAATTCTGCAAGCTTCTAAATACACTTCTCCCTCACTGAGATCCAGAATAAACTCCCTCCTGGGTGGAGAGGAACACATGCATTTATGCAATTTTGTACCAGTTCTCAGAAGTCTCTCAAAATGTTAAGACTATCAGCCTGGATTTTCATGGTAATAAGGATGTAATTTAACTTACATAAACAAATGAAACAAACCATAGAAAGTGAATTTATTAAACTCATACACTATAAGGAATATAAGAACTTTTGCTTTACATATGCATTTAAAATGCTTTTAAAGTATTTTAATTTTAAAACCTATCATTCAATAAGAAAGTATACTATCAAAAGCCAACTTGAAAACCAGTTATGAATTATTTTCACTCAGTTTCTTCACAGATTGTCACACGGGAATGATTAAAACTAATTTTTTTCTGAATAAGTCAGAAAAAAAACCTTTTCTGTAATCTCTTGTGTACATAGTTGAAAGTTTTCTAGCTGCATTTGAATAAGTGTTATCTTTTAAAATGACAAAAAATTGAAACTCAATCTTTTCTTGCTACTCAATGTAACACAAGCTTTTCCACAGGAATGCATTAAATATAGTTCATCTACTTTGAGCTGGTTATTTCAAAATGTGTATGGGACATTTGCTCTGGCTAACTTATTACATAATAAAAAATTTGCTCATCAGAGCATAGCAAAGTGCTCTTTTAACTGTTTGATGAGCTGCTGTGTATCAACATGGCCTGGAAATGCTTCTTCAGACTTCTGAGCTGCTGTGTAACTTCTCTGAAGATCTCCAACCTGTAAGAAACACATAAACTAATTTTGAAAATCCAAACACTGCATCATGTATTCTTTGCATTCTGTGCAGTACAATTCTGATGCTCACAAATTTTAAACACAGCTGGTCTGAAGAGTGAACAGTACAAAGACATTTGGACGCAGGATTATGTCGCACTTACAACAAGGGACAGAAAGACAGAAATGTGATTCTAATGGGAGGGTTTGAGTCATCAACAACATATTCCATTTCACCCAACTTCTTGGAGAATGGACAAGGTACGCACCATACCCAGTGCTTGAAGTAAGGAGGAATAAAAAATAGAAGTTTTGCTTTTAAACTCCATAGAAGTGCTATTGCATATACAAGCAAAACACAACCCATCAGGCCTCTGTAAAAAAACCCAACTCTGTGATTTCCTGCTTCCTCACAGAGATGCACAACAGTCTTGGAGAACTAATAGTGCTCCTCTGTTGCTTTTAGAAGAAATAGTTTCCTACTTAGAGAACTTCATTTTTTTCCTAAATAGCCATTGTTTTTTTGGAAGGATTAAAGGGAAAGCGTTGCAGAAAGTGGGATCAGCAAAAAATAACCCAAATATCTGGGAACACATCTAGTAAAAGTGATTACTCCTGAATGGAAAGGGAAGAACTATAGACAGCCAAGAGCCCTTTTTTGCCTGTGCATCGCTCAACACAGAGCTTCAGCACAGCAAGAATTCTCTGAAGGAGAAAAAGCCAAGGTCCCAGCCAGAAAAGTAATCTTTTGTAACCAATGGTCTTACACTATATGTAAGGATTGCATTACCCCACTGCACCAACACCTGGTTGATGTGGCCCTCTGTCATCTCCCATAACCTGTAAATGTTCTTTGTGCAAAATCCACGTAACAAGACATTTGCAGACTAGGATTTACTCCCCAATCATTAAGTAAAAATTGCAATTATTCAACACCCTCTTGTGTTTCACAATGGAGAGGATACGCTTACAAATTAATGGGTTATTCTCTTCTTGATGCATGTACTTCAGCATCTGTAGGAGTGGAGTTGCCCACACAACACAGAATCATAACAGAATCATGAAGCTGTAGGCATAAGCAAAGGAGCAATTTTCTTCTTGTGAAGAAACAAGAAAAAAAATTGTACAAGTTTCTCTTATTAACAGACACTGTTAATACAGTATCTTAGACACTCTGGATGAAATAGACTATTAACACAAAAAATTCAGAGGTTATAAAGCTGAATAACAGATTTTCCTTCTGAGGTCACTAAGATATTATCAGTAAAGGATATTCTTTCTATCATTACTAATAAATCATTTTATATTATTACACTTCACATTCTGAAAAAGCTTATGACTGTAAAGACTGTACATGAAATTCTTAACAAATTGTTAATTTTCCAGGCATTTGGACAATTATAAAGTTACTTCATAGCCAGTCAGACTCATTTATTCTCAAAACACTGGAATGGTATTAAAATGAAAATGTTATTTTGCATTTTCCTTGAATTTATGCAGTCTGTATTCTTTTATCTATCTGGAATTCTCAGTAATAACAATAAACCCACCTGTCTCACCAAGGCTCAATTTTTAGATTACAAGAACAGGACAATGCATTACCTTCTCTGAGAGTATGGCAACATTGAAATGGGGCTCATACATGTGAGGTGCTAAAGATGAAGCAGTCTGCAGCAAAGCTCTTGCCTATACAGAGAAATGAAATAATAATATAGTGAAATCTATGAGAGAAAGTAACAAGCAGCTAATTCAATATTCATAATTCTTAAAAGAAATCATCCTATGTTTACTAAGTCTTTAGTAAGAAAGCCATTTTCAATAAAGTTACATCAACAGCATAGGCATAACAAAGTCAAATAACATCGAAATGAATAAAGACTTTTGGTTGAGTAAGGAAAAAAAATATTGGGACATACTCAATTAAGCAATTTTATTTTAAACCCTGAGGACAATATATCAAATAAATTAAATAAAACTCAAAGTATTTAAACACCCCACTGTATTTATCTGTTGTCTCTGACAGCTCTGTCTTAAGCAACCCTGAAACCTTTATATGATAAATTTTATCATATAAATGACAGCTTTCACACTCAAACATTTTAATAAAATTAGAGATTTTTTTCTCACTAGCAAAATAGAGGCATAAAAAGGTAAAACAAACTAAGCATCAGAGTGTATAATTTCATGCTGTAAATCCAATGCAGAATTAAGGTCCACCTGTGAAAGATTTTACTAAAAAATGGAGAACTTAATGAGGAAAACTCCAAAATGTTTAAAAACATAAGAAACTGTAAACTGTGGCAAGACTGAGCTGGGAACTTATTAAAACTTCCTTGATCTGAAAAATCTGAGTGCACAGAACAGTACTTATGAAAGAACATTGTGAAATAAAATCCATGATAAGCAAAATATAATCCGTATTTCTATTCTCCTGTGCATGTTTTATTGCCAAGATGATCCAAATTTTTAATTATACATGTGATACAAAAAGGAAACTGAAAATTTTAAGCTAAAAACTAAAGTAGACAGGAAGCTATTCTAAAGGAAAGGCTCTTCAGTGCTAGTTATGAGCAATCACAACATCCACAACTGAGGGTATGCTCCACTAGGGAATTAAATGTCTACAAATTTACTGAATTATTGAAAAGTTATGAAACTGAAATTAACCCAAAGTTTATTTGTCACTGGTAACATCCAGTGCTGGGTTCATTTCAGTGTCTCCATGGTAATTGCTAAGTTATCTGAATAAAGTCAACTTCTAAGAGAATTTGCTCTTCAAAAAGGTATTTATAATTTATTTTAGCTCTATGATGTATATATATGAATTCATCAAATTAGCTTACTCTCAGGAGGTTTAAAACAAGCCCACAGTAGCTCTGTCCAAAACTGTCCAAAAAACACATATTAATTTTCCCTGCATGTATATAAAAATGGTTACATTTATTCCACCATGCATGTCAATTATACATCTAAGCACAATACCCTTAGTATACTCACTTTAGGTAAGATGAACCACCAAGTTTATTGATGCAAAAGTATTTATCAAGAACAAGTTGCTTTCTGACAAAATTCTAATGCATTCTCCTTGCTAAAGAAGCCCCAACTTTCAAGAGCTAATTTGATTTCTCTTTTCTGCCACCCAAAAAAAAGTATGTTATCTACATCTATGAACTGACTATACAGTCAAAGTTGTCTTTTAAGTGATGATTATAAAGCCATGGGATTTGCTTTGGGTATCAATTAAAAAAAAAAAATCTCAACAACTGCAAAGCTATTGGAAACTTTGCTTGTCTTTGATGATTCATTTGGATATGCCAAAGAATAAGCAGTTTAATAGGAGATGACATGACAATACTTCAGAATTGAATAATAATATTATTCAGCTTACACTGAAACAGGGATAATAGTTATCCACGTTTTCTGCATCTAATAGTGAGTTAGACATTCATATGATACCTCCACCTCAGAGAAATGACATGTTTGTTAAATACAAAATGCGTAAATGAAGCATTCTGCTTTAGGCTGAGATTCAGCACTGACCTGTTCAGTGTGACCTTTTCGCATTTCCAGCACGGCCAAGTTGTTGTAAGCTTCTGCATAGTCATTATTGTTGACTAATGTTAGCTTGAAACACTGGTAAGCCAGATTCAGGTCTCCTATGCCCTAAAAGTAAGATTGTGTTTTCATTTGTGAAAAGATTGGAAACAACATGCATCTCTTTTGGTTTCTGGAGTAACATTTCACCCACAAGTACTACAATGGAATGAAAATTACAATAAAAACATACTGATCAGAAACATATGTGCTTTCTTCCCAGATCCTCTCATTTTTTCCTTATTCTTTCTATAGATAGAATCATTTCTCTCCAGCACAAACTTCCATGCTTCAAGTGATATTTGCTTCATCTAATTTAACTTTTAGATGACTGAAGTGTCATCTAAAGATTATGCTATCTGCTACTGTCTATAGCAGGGTAAGAAAAACTGAGATGTCTCCAGAGAGGAAGTCATCTTGCCTCTCTGTCTCTACACATATTTAAGTTAAGGGAGATTCACTTCTCAGATGGAGCAGCTGACAGCTGACTACTACTGTAGTGTTTAGACTAACACTGACGCAGCATCAGGTTAAACATCAAAAGTGACAAATGCTGAAAAACACAGGCGCATCAGTTCAAATTTCAGTCTTCAAGGCAGTATAAATTACTGTGTTTATGCTAGCTGCAGTAAAAGACAGTTGTGTTTCTGACTCAAATCATTAACAGCAATTGAAGACAACTCATGTTAGAAAGCTGTCAAAAACTTTATTCAGCAAACTTCTTCTGGGCATGGAGATAAAGAGAAATACAATGCAACTGCTTGAAGAACATCTGCAAAAATGGGCAAGACTGTAAGAAAATCTCTGTAGAAATTTAACAAAGTTTATCACACAACTACACAATATTTCTATAGCTGCCTTTAAGACAGAGCAACATGCCTTCTCAACTATGACCTACTTAGTGTTTTAGTATTGGCTGCTTGGTGTTGAATGTGTATTTTTGTGACAAAAGAATCAGCCTAATTCTCCATATAAAACAAATAAAAGTACCTAGAAAAATATCTAGTATTCAATTTTAATTTTTTTTTTCAGATTAGCTTATTTTTCAGCCAAGGCCTTCAAGGGCTGGTATATGTTACAATTTTTTTAGAAAGATGGGAAGGTTAAAGACAGTGAGTAGTGAGCATCTTTTAGCAGGAGAAAGCCACATTATGTAAAGTACAGAGTTTTTTTCTCTGCTTCTTTCTTACTGAAGTGCAAATAAACATTCCATCTGTACAGGGCTTTATCCTGTACACTATCAGGTTTTGTACTTCCAAGAAGAGAAATTATTCCCTCCCAGTTAATGTTTTACATTTTTTATAAATTGCATTTATTCAGAAAGGTGGTTAATATTTTTCATACCACAGCCACGTGTCCCAGGTTGTACCACACATCTGCTGTCTCCTCCTCATTTTCAGCCAAAAACAGTGCCCGTTCAAATGAAGATAGTGTCATATCATATTGCTGGGCATAGAAGCAACAGAGGCCCAGATTGTTAAAGAGCTGGCAGTTATAAACACCCATCTGCAGGAGCCGTCTAGATATAAAGAAAACATTTGTATAATTTTTTTAAAAATCCACTTCAAGTAGGAGTTCTACTCTAAAAGATAAAGTTCTCTCCTCCTTTCTCCCTGTTCTGAGAGGGTATAAAAACCAAGTGCTACAGTCTTACACTTGTTAGTTTCATGAAGGGCAGTGCAAGGTATTTTTTAGTAGAATCACAAATGTGCAAAAGTCTGTGTAAATTAGTAACATCTGTCTTCTTGACCGGGTCACATGATCTGACTTTACTATAAGACAGAGATGTAACAGACTTTCTCTGTTTCCTCTTTCCAATCTCTAGACATAAATCAAGCTGTAGTTTGTTGCAGTTACTTTATATAACTCTTAAGACTTCAATGTTTTGCTTGATTCCCATCCTTCAGTACTGCTCTAATTAGTAATAGTATATTAAGATGTGAATCTATATTAATCTTACACATCAAGCATAACTCAGATACTGATTCACACTGATATTGTTTAATGTGTCTTTTAAAATGGAGATGTATTATAAAAATTATTTTATTAATATTTATAACAAAAACAGAAGTGCTATGAGGGCCAGGGGAAAAGATGGCTGCTGTCTTGCAGCATGACTCTGAGTTTCTGAACCTAAAGCATAAAAACCCTCAAGTCCAATAGAAATGTGATGATAGTGCTCTTGTTGACTTAATCTGCTCTTAGCAAGAGAATGTCAGGATCCTTTGCACTCTGCCTGTATTGAAATAAAAATCAAGCAGCAGTGTTTAACACTATCTTTTCACTGCTTTCAGTAAAACACACAGGAAGCCCAGCCCACATTCCAAGTCAGGGATTTTGTGGTCACAAGTCCTGGTCACTTCAGGTGGAGTAAGGGCTAAAGAGGAAGTCCTTGTGCCTTCTGTATGCAACTGAAGTTGAGGGTAAGATCCACTGTTCTCAAACTGCCCCATGCTGTGAAAGAACTTTCCTTGTTCACTGGTTGAATGGTAACTGTTTTGATAACCTTTGTTGATACTTCTACATACTCCTCATGTAATGATTACAAGTTTGTAGTGATGTACTTATCACTGTATAAAAAGATACAAAAGTTGGTAAACTGATTTTATGGTAATATTTGTCCAAATGCTCATTCATACTCCCATGTCAATCTCCTAGTTAATTTTTTCCCCACATTACAGAAATCAACCCTTTATCAACCTTAATCAACCCCCTCCTCACATATTCTGTTCCCCCTCCCTCCTTCTCCATAGGTACAGATACCTGTAAAACCGCAGAGCTATCTCAGGTTGGTCTGAATAAAAATGGTTGCTGCCAATGCATGCAATGGCTTCCACGTGAGTATTGTCTTGTTTTAAGACGTCTTTATAGTACTCTGCAGCTGTGGAGATATTGTTCATTTCCTATACAATTGGACAAAAATTTCAATTATTTCTACTGTTTATCACCTATTTTTAATGTGGAACTCACTAAAATGCTAATCTATCTTGTGCTTTATCTATGCCCTGTACAGTACCTAATTGAGATTAATTATATATGCTCTTAAAGTTCTCTGATCGTACCATTCAACATCACTGGTTGGCATCTTCACAAGCAGCACACACATCCATGAGAGCAATGCATATTTATTAGTAATATCTTTACCTGAAATTAACTCTATGCCACAGCTACAAAAAGAGATTTATTTGGTTTTTATTTTTTAGAAAAAGACACAGCCTGTTGTATTGAGCTTGGAAGTTGAGGAGAACTACAGGGGTCCCTCATCCCCTGTGAGAAGCTGCCAAAGCCTCCTCCACATCCAACAGAGTCAATGCCAGCTGCTTCTGGGATGGACCCAACGCTGGCCTCAAGGCTGAGCTCATCAGAGAAGGCAGTCACATCTCTGTGATAACATATAATGCATTTAAAAAGGAAAAAAAAGTTATTGCACAGATGTAATTGTGGCCAGGAAGAGAGGGGTGAGAACATGTGAGAGGAACAACTCTGCAGACATCAAGGTCAGTGCAGAAGGAGGGGCAGGAGGTGCTCCAGGCACCAAAGCTGAGATTCCCCTGCAGCCCTTGGTGCACCCCATGGTGAACTGCAGCCCATGGAGGTCAGTGGGGGAGCAGAGATCCACCTGCAGTCCATGGAGGAGCCCCATGCTGGAGCAGGTGACCCTGCTGTAAGCTGTGTCCCTGTGGGAAGTCCATGCTGGAACAGGCTTCTAGCAGGACCTGTGACCCCATGAGGAGAGGAGCCCACACTGGATCAGGTTCACTGACAGGACTTGTGACTCTCTGGGTTACCCGTGCTGGAGCAGCACCACATGCTACAGACATTGGCCCCTTCTTGCACAATGTCTTCTGAAACCCAGAACTGTGCAGTCAGTTTCCCAGCACGGTAACACAGAGCAGACTACCCCAGACAATGTCTCAACTATTTTCAGTGCTTTTTTAAATCAACTCATTAATTGCTCTGAACACAAACAAGAATATAATTGCATATGAAAATCTATTATGTGCCTTTGAAAGCAGGAATCACGAATTTACCAAAACTTGTACTACCTAGGATATGACTAGTTATATCCTAGGTATAGGATAGTTAAGAGAAGTTAATAGTTAAGAGAACTGCATTGTAAATAAACATATGCTCGGATTTGTGCTACCTGGAAGATGAATTAGGGTAAACTCACTGCTGTAAATGACAGTGCACTGTTTCTGAGGGGTGCAAGGTCCTGAGAACCCTATCCCATGCAAGGAAAAAAAATAAATTAAAAGATCAAACTCACTTCTGTGTTTCTGTGTTTATATAGGAATAATTTCTACCTGTGTGCTGTAGATACAATGTGCTCCCAACATAACTAAAGAATAAGCCTTTATATAACCTCAGCAGTGTATTTAGCTACCAAAAAAAAAAAAAATATTTCTTGTGACTAAAGGAAATAGTAATAAAGCAGTCCCTTTAAAAATTATGTGTTTTTTTTAAACCAAAAATGCTCTACAACTCTTTGTACTGTCAAAAGTTAGTGACTGAGAAGAAAAGCTCTGATTAAGATGCCTGATACATATATCCCACTTGTGAGTCTATATAATGAAAGCAGCCCTGTGTTGCAGTACAAATCTTTGCTAATGAAGCTATAATCCTGCACTCAAGTGTCAGTGCAAAACTAGATCCTATCAAATATATGCTGCTCTTTAATAATTCCTTAAAGGGTTATGCAATGTTATGTACGGTTCTGCAAAATAATATCCATATTAGAAACCATTCAACAATTCAGAAAGAAAAGCCTCCAAAAAATATGCAGCTGTTTTCTTCTTGCTGAAGGACAAAAAGGATTTAATATGAAAATGGATTAAGGCTTAGGGGTTAGATGAGAATGATGAGAACAGGATAGAATGCCAAGCATGAATATAGACAAAAAAATAAATTCATTACTTTTTTTTTAACATTTGTTCTGGAATAGCATGTTACCAACTTTCAGTGAAAAACAATATGAAGTCCACTGTTTGACATGAAGATATACAATTATAAAATATAAAATACATGGTCACTATGCTAAAGTGAAACTACTTTATAACCAATCCAACTTAGTACAACATTTACTTCCTGACTAAGAAACATTCACATTCTAACTGTCCTCAGAGCCTTAAAAAATTAATGGTAACACATAGTGCTAATAAAAACAACAGACAAAGAAACTATTTTTGCTGCTTAATTTTGCTAGCTGGTGACTTGAGCAGTTTTGGTATGATGAAATATATATAAACTAGCAAGGACAACATCTGGACAACTTGACTTAATATGGACTTGCTTCTGCATGCCAAGGGCAAATGGGATCACACTGGTGTGATTAATTGTTGAAACAAATAAGCCTGCAGGGTTCCCCTGACATTACCTTGTTACCTTTGTGGAAAGTTATCTGTATTGCGTTAGTGAAACTGAAAATCAGCACAGTTGGCTTTTGATGACCTTACAGTTATATTCAACTACTGACTCTTCTTTCTTGCTCAAACAGCTAAATTTGGCCACTATAAGGATTGCATAGTGGGTGCATACCTCGTAGATTCTGGCAATTCCACAAATAAGAGTCACTTCTCCAGGAAATCGCTCTAACCCTTGCTTGAAAAGGTTCAAAGCTGTTACAGGCTGATCCAAACGCAAATACACCTAAGCAAATAAAAAGTGTATATAGATGTCAAATGTCTGACTTCTACACGTTCTGCTGTTTAACAAGGGAGATAAATAAAATGAATGATACCTCCATTTATGCAGTAAACCATTAGCTGAGATGATGAATAATACTGGGAAAATAATGGAGTGAATACTGAATAAATCTGTATAATGAAGATAAAATAGACTACTTAATTAAATTTACCTCATACCGTCTATACACTATTAATTTGAATACTACTAATTAAAAATATCTTGTTATTTATTATCATATATAATATATTTTGACACTGAGGTGAAGGCATCACCTGGAATATTTCCCTGTTTAATGTATTTTCAAAAACTTGTGTTTAGGCTTGAAAGAACTGGATCTTCAGGGTGATAGTGCTGGAATATAAAAATGTTCTTCTTAGTCAAATAAGACTGCACCTAACAGAGCAGTGACACTTTCAAGTTTCCTTACAGCTCAGCCAACCTCCCCTGCCACAAACAATAAAATCCTATAGAAAGAGGGAGGTTTTGCCTCTGTGATTTTGGCTTCTGTGTTGATTAAGAAAATATGCAATGTGGTTAATAATTGTGTGAGAAATGCCCAGTGTTGATAGGGACCACCTCAGCAGCTGTCTGAGATACAGCTGCAAAGCTCTCCTGCTGTGAGGTATGGTAAACACAGCTACAGCAAAGGGAAAAACCCTGCACACATGCTTTGGGAAAACTAGATGGCTAGAATGATTTATATATCTCCCACTGAGTGAAAAAGGATTGTGTTGGAGAAACAGTATATTAATCAGTGCTAATATTTGATACTTCTAAAAAAGAGAAAGAATCTGTGACTGGTATCCTGATACAACCTTTTTGTGATGCAACATTAAGACAAATATCAATGCTAACTGAACACCTGAGAAACCTCCAATATGATTTCTGCTTTTGGCCTTCATGGACTTCTGATTGCCAACAATCACAACTCTACATTGTTTATTTGCAATCCCATAGATATATACCACTGCAGACAATTTCAAAGAATTCTTTCCTATGACCACTCAATGACATTCTTAATTGTCAAAGAGCTGACAACTGTGAGTGTCTTCCAAGAAAGGACTGTCATTCCATGTTGGTCATTGGCAAAATTAAAAAAATACAGGCATTTTTTACACTCATTCTGCTAATGTCGCTCACATTTCCTGTATTAAGCTAGAAAACTAATGCCTTCTTGTGAGAATATATAAAAGAACAAGGAGGGTACAGTACTTAGTAGATTAGATCTCACTAATTACATCATTAACCATGAATGATGCATCCAATTTAATAAATGGACAGTGTGAAACTCTCCTAGATCTCCCCCTTTTTTGTATTTTTCTTTGTTTATGAAGTATGTTTTCTGAGCATTAATGACTTAAATCTGCTCTATTCCTTTATATAGAAGTTGTCTCCAAAGATACACTCACTATAGATGCTAAGACCACACAGCAAGAGTACTCTACTATGTAATCCCTATATCCAGTGTGATATCACACTGTCCAACATCTCTGTAAACAGTAGAGCTGCTCTCTTGATAAGTGGCAAAAGAAATTAAAAAACAGGTGGGGAAATTTCCATCTACTCGCAGTTGCTTTGGTGAGACTTGTTCTTTAAAAGCTATAGTAATTATATACTACAGCTATAGTAATTATAGTTTATACACTAAAAGCAGAATAGCTCCATTTTCTTTTTGGTCTCCTGTTTATCTCTTGTAAAAATATCCCATTTCTAGCTCTTCTAGGTCATGAAATACTTTGTAACTTCACAACAGGTCCTGACTGCTTTAAAGACTCCTACTTTTTTTTTTTTTTCTTTTGGTCTTTTATATTTTTGTAAACTACATTTCAAGTCAGAGATCACTTTCAAGAAAGTGTTATTAAAAACCCAGCTAGCTGTTGCAATAATGAATATAAACAAAACTAGTACTGTAGTATCAGTATATTTCCACAGAATTTTATGCAATCATTATTTTTTAATGGCTACTTAACTCAAGCCTGTTTTTTCAGTTCTGTTAAACTGAACCATATCTCACTGCCTTACTCTATTGCCTGTCCACTGACAGTCACAGTCATGCTATGCAATGTTTTATACTTGAGTAAGCTGGCCTACAGAGTGGGAGGTAGAAGTTCAAATGCAGCTCCTGCCTGATCCAGTACTGATGTAGGGGGATACAATCTCCTGTAATGAATCACTGTTAATCCAATTACTCTGCCATTTTAATAATTCTGTGTAGTTAATGGAGCAAGTCCAGAGAAGGGCCAGCAAGATGATAAGAGGGATGGAACACCTCTCCTGGGAGGAAAGGCTGGGAAAGTTGAGTCAACCCAGAGAACAGAAGGATGTGGGGTCACCTAATTGCAACCTTCCAGCACCTGACGCGACCCTACAAGAAAGCTAAAGAGGGACTTTTACAGGGACATGTAGTGACAGGACAAGGGGAATGGCTTTGACCTCAAAGATGGTATACTAGATAGTAGGAAGACATTCCTCACCATGCAACAGGTTGCCCAGAGAAGCTGTGGATGCCCCGTCCCTGACAGTGCCCAACACCAGGCTGGATGGGGCTCTGAACAACCTGGTCTGGTGGAAGGTATCCCTGTCCATGGAGCAAGGGGGTGGGGATTGGAACTGGATGATCTTTGGCATCCCCTCCAACACAAACCATTTTGTGATCCTATGTATTTTGTAGAATGACTTGTGACAGAGACAGGAAAATTAATAAGCTTCAGTGAACTTCAAACACAGTATTGAAGACATGTCTCTAGATAGCAATCATGATTATTTAAATACAAAACATAAATTGCTCAAGAAACATAAAGCACATATGAATATCTGAATGTCACTAGCAATGATGACTTTTGGACAGGCCTGTGACAGCTGGCTTAAGGGGAACTGATAAAGAGCAACTGGTTTCATCTCCTCCTAGGACACAATGAAGAAAAATGTAGTTTTAGCTTCTCACAGGCCACCTTTTCTTGAATGCCTTAGAAAATGTTTAGAATCTAATGTGTATCCTGGTAAACAAGTAATTCTGAGACTCAGCTATGCCACTTGTTCTTTTAAAGCTTTTAATGCCTTTATTGTGACAGAACATTCCCTGTTTCAAGGTCTCTGATTGCTTCCTACAAGCTCACTTTGTTTTGATTTTGCTTGTGAAACTAGGATTTTGAGCTTTGCTCTTTATTTACAGATTTATTGCATTCGTTTCCTAGGAGACCATATATAGCCACATTGTTCTTCATACTTGAACTCCAATAATTTTTTTAGCTTCATAATCCTCATTGGAGTTTAGAACAAAGAATCCAGTAACATCAGAGATTTTTTTTTATCTTGTTTGTGAAATCTGGGAACTCTAAAATAATTTTGTAAACTATTGACTTCCATTGCAACTGTTAGCATGTATTGCCTCAGGCATGGAGACCATCCACTTTTAAACATAATGATGTATCTATGACTTACTTTTGCCAAATACAAGAACGTATCAACCATGTCCTGCTGCTTAAGGGCTGACTTAAACTGTTTTTCGGCTTCACGATATAATCCCAACCTAAAGAGACAACAGACACATATAGAAGGTACTTGTTTATTTTTGTTTTTAGTACTTTTTTAAAACCTTAGTAAATAATGAAGCAGTTTAAACAAAATCAAGCATAAACTACCTGAAAGCACACTTTATGACCACATATTTGTGCGCCTGTTAACAAAAAACATGTCGTTATATAAAGATAACAAAACAGCCATTCAAAACTACAAAAAGACAAATCCATGAAATTTGGCCCCCTCTTATATATGCAGCCTCCTGGAATGGCTGAATGGTGAATAATGATATACTCATAGGAATTTCCCCCGCTCTTAGAACAGACAGTAGAAATGAGCAATTAATGTCTCAACTCTACCCAAACTGTTTGAAACCAGAATTTCCTCACCCATGGCAAAGATCACCCAGATAATCTCCACTGTAAATGAACATGACAGAAGTCTGTTTCATCTCATAGGCATTTATTTTCCATAATTAGAGTAAAATGTTTTGCACAAATCTATAAAAGCTATTTCACTACAAATTAAGAGGACCATGCAATTTCAAGAATAGAAAATGGTAAATTTTCTCATATACAAATTGCCTTTTGTTTCCTTCAGCCAAAGAGCACATACTTGCTGAAGAAATGCAAAATACAAACAGAACAAGCCAGCTAAAACAAAGAAACACAGCCAATGGGAACATAAGGTATTTTGGGATCCTGGAAGTCCATGTAGCTGCTTGGATGCATTAATCTCTATAACAATTACTAGTCTCTATAAAAATCCTGAAAACAATGAATGACCTCTAACCTCACGTATTGGTTTGCATGACAAGGTTTTGGCAGCTGGGGAATCCAGGAATGGCTTCTATGAGAAGCTGACGGGTCTCTGATGTGCGACAGAGCCAACGCCAGAGGGCTCCAGGTTGGACTCATGGCTGGCCAAGGATGAGCTCACCCACAATGGTGGTAGTGCCTCCATCATCAGCACAGGAATAATGTAGCATGCAGGGATAATATATTTAAGGTGGAGGAAAAAACAGTACAATGGCAAGCAGAGAGAGGAGTAAGAATGTGTGAGAAGAGCTCTGCAGACACCAAGGTCAGTGCAGAAGGAGCAGAAGAAGATGCTCCAGAAATTCCGCTGCAGCCCTTGGTGAAGACTGTGGTGAGGCAGCTGCCTCCATGTCTCTGCAGCCCATGGAGGAGTAAGAGGATGCAGAGGTCCACCTGCAGCCTGTGAAGGAACCCATGCTGGAGTAGGTAGATGCCCAAAGGGAGCTGTAACACCACAGGATGCCCATGCTGGAACAGACTCCTGGCAAAACCTATCATTCCATGGAGAGATGAGCCCACACTGGAGAAGGTCTGCTAGCAGGACTTATGACCCTGGTGGGGGGACTTATGCTGGAGCAAGGGAAGAGTGTGAGGAGTCCTTCCCCTGAGGAGGAGGGAGCAGCAGAGACAAACTGACTGCAACCTTCATTCCCTGTCCCCCTGCACTTCTGGGAAGGGAGGAGATAGAGAAAATAAGGAGTGAAGTTAAGCCCAGGAAGAAGGAAAGGGTAGATGGTAGTTTTAAGAATTGCTAATATTTCTCATTATCCTACTCTGATTTGATGCCTGTGTATGGGTTGCCAGCCTGAGGCCTCAGCATATTTTTAACTGGTACTTCTTGGGCAATGTAATTCTGGCAGAAAGCATCTAACATGAATATTTTATTCTGTATTATTTCATCAATCTGAAGCCCTCATTGACAGGTTATTTCTCAAACTAATACTGTAATATTTATTTTATGTGGTCTGTTTTAACAATAGTTCTTTGCATTAATTGACTGACTTTTCAAATAATTACTTTAAAATCCATTAACACAGGCGAAATTGCAACTAATTCAGTTACTCAATATGGATGCCTTTATCTCAAGGAGTGGTCTCCTTGTACATTAATGGAGATGTAAGCACAGCACTCTCCAACAAAACACTTTCTGAGCTATTTCTCACTGTTCAGCATTGCCCAATACACCCAGAAGTACAGGTCCTGCACTCACAATCACTCACTGCAGAATAAATGAACAATGACTTACCTATAGTAGCACTTTCCAATTTGGACTTTCCACCACCAGTCCTTGAATTGTGCGTGCTCAGTGGCAAGGGCTGCCAAATCTAGAGCCTTCCAAAACAAACCAATCATCTTAAAATTGATGTTTACACAAAGAAAACACGGTAAAGATGTTTGTAAAGAGAACATTTTGAACCAAAGTCCAGTTAACTTGAGGTGGGGACACTGCTTTATCTTTATTACTTTCATAGGTCAGTGCATAAAATAGTTGAAAGGATTGTTTGTCTCTATAAAAACAGGCAATCCAGTTTCTTCTAAATCAAAGAGAAAATAGAAAATTAATTTGATCCAACTCCTGTAGTGCCACTTCAGAATATACTATTTGTTTGAGCACAAAACCTTTTTCCAAGCTTCCCATCCTTTTTCAGTAAAACTTGTTAAAACCAAGTAAAAATAAAGTGAAATAAATTGAGTGCATTTGAAATACTGTATAAATTTTAATCTCATTTCTAATATCAGGTTGCCATTACTTCTGGAAGCTCTCAAAATGTGTACAAGAAGAAATATTTCTTCCTTTAAAATGTCTATAATGTAAACAATTATTTTATTACAGGAAAAACAGAGAAATATTCTAAGAAACAGATATCTATTGAAGATGGTGGAGGTCTAAAATCTTTTTTGTCTGGTATCCTGGAAAAGCAGATAAGCTAATCAATGTGCTCTGATCAGGCACCACAGCCAGAATCTATGGCCCCCATTTCAACACCTCTGTTAAAACAAATACATGTCTTTTCTGTACCACAGCCTACCACAGAAGCACTCATCTTTGTTTCTTTTTTTTTAAATTTCATTTTGTCTCAGAACATATCACAGCCATGTTATGTTTGTTATATTTTCAGTATATCATCAGAAGTAGGGTAAAAAGCTTTAACACAATGTTTTTATAACAAAGAACCGACCTTTCTACCATTCTTGCCTGCTTTTTTTGGTAAACATTTTGCTGACCACAGAAATCAGAAACAAGTTATCTATTAGGAACAATATGTAAAAGTTCTGTGCACCAATCACTCAGTAGCAGAGAAACAAATAATTCCAGGAAAAATTAATCTGAATATTGAAATGCTGTAAGAACCCAATTTAGTGACATCTACACCTACGTTGAATTTCTGCTCTTTATGCTAGCAAAATGAGGCTGCAAGTAGTCAAAGGGTTTAGATCTGACATAACGAAGAAAAGTCAATGGAGCTATGACAATTTAGACAAGTTGCTCTCTTTTGGCTTTGTGAGAAAGAATAATTTGTTTTCTGTAGCAATTCAGGATAAGTACTTCCATCAGTGCTGCCCCTAAGAGAAAGAGACAGCTGTCATTCCCTGCCTCTGTGACAGGAGAGAGAAAACTCAGCTAAACCTGAATTCACTATTTCTTCAAGTCAGGTAGAATCCTTTAAGGCTATAGATGGCAGCTATTATCTTGGCTGCTCTTTGTTTCTTAATGTTGCAAATTGCCCAACATGGCCTTTGGATGCTACAACTATGATGGGGAATAAGCTTCCTTTAGAACTTTAGAAATTGTCCAGATACCTTTCCAGACAGATTCTTCCTTTCAAATGAAGGTACATAAGCAATTTTGTCCCAGTACTGGAAAGTCTGTGAAAGTAGTTGCTGTTAAAACACTGGTTACTTTTGATGCATTTACCAATGTATAAACAAGGTGGGCAACCGTCAGATACCACACCTGCTTCTTTCTAATGCAGCAGGAGCAGCCACTTCAGAGGAGAAAGGATCATACTGCCAATACTGTGCTCCAAAGAGTTTTCCTTAGAGTTCTCCAATGGCAAAGGCTCAAGAAGGACTGAGTTTCACAAAATGATCCCTTCTGTAGCTACACATTCAGGTTTCTTTCTGGTAGCCTAATTGCTTCTGATAACATTTTATGCAAGGCTAGGAATTTTGGCTGTGATTGGAAAATGGGAACTAAGACTGCTTCAGGTTTAGTAGACAGTAACATCAGCAGTTTATCTGTGCAGATCCTGAACTCTTCCTGGAATCTTCTACTAACATCAAGAAACACAGCATGACTTCATTTTGAAGTTATTTAATGAAATTCAATCCTGTTTTTATATTTTCCAGTTAATGAAAAAGGAAAGGAACAGGAAGATCCTGTTTCTGATACTTTACAAACAATTACAATAACTTCAATCAGAAAATACTACTGAAGTTACAAATACTTCTAAAAATTGTTTGCCTGAGAAGGCTTTGTGCATGCTAATAGTTAAAATTTCTGCTGGTATTACAAAACAAAATCTTTTGACAATGTGGCCCTTGAAATTTTAGTAAATGGATTTAAATAGTACTTTAAAAGTAAAAGCTTTCAACTTGCTATGTCAATACCAACTGCTAGCATATTTAAATTTCAGTTTGCTGCAAACTTCAGGTTTTTAATTGTACAGTTTGGGTACTAATCAATATTCAATCAGCACAACATGTTAATTTAAAACCAGTCTATAAAAGCAGTAGTGATATGCCTGTCCTGCACATTGCTGGATGTAGTCATATCAATAACTGAAAGGGAACAACAGGATGGATTTGGAATTGGCGGATACTGATATGTCCTTTTAAGGATTTTTGATTGTAATATATATATCAGTTCAAAGCCTACACTTGCTTGTCCTGAAAGTTTTCATAAATTTTATGATATAACTCATCACCTGGACATATTCATGAGCTGAAGTTGTTACTGTCTAGAGCATTCAGCATACTCAAGAATGCAGAGTCCATTTCAACAACAGTCTTAAGCCTGAGAAGCTTTTCAGAACAGATTTATTTTACTCTCAGCTCTTATGTTTGTGCAAATAAAAACTATTAAAAACCCTGATACTTGGTGGATTTTCTGTTTCTTTTTAAAAACAAGTTTTTGTTAAAGAATGAAAATTAATGTAGATTCTTTAACTGTATTTAGCATGATTCTGAGTTTCTTTTTTTTACTGTTACTTTCCTTAGCTAAACTGTATTATAACTAACACTTCCAAACTATCTACCAGCTGTAACACAGTATAAAACAGCCTGTAGGGTTGTGGCAATTTACCATTATATTGAAAAATTAAATTGGTATATGTACAGTTGTTTGAAACAGTAATTTCATACAGAGTATTGTATGCACCTAGAAATTAGATAGATGGAAACAATAGTGAGCATCTGCTGCTTCTTTCATGTGCTGTTGAATGGCAGTAATTTTCCCAGCAACAGTTATTGACTAAAGTCTTATTTGTAGACAAATCAACACCAGATAGTCTATAAGGTAGCTGAGGAAATGACATTAGCCATAGTCAATTTAGCACATTTATTTTGTTGAGTGTCTTCTGGATTTCTATATTTTGCAGATCTAACATAATTCCATTTTAAATAAATTTCTATCAGAGAGTATAAACTAAAAAGTATTGAGAAGAACTAAGGAAAAATTAGAGGTGGTGACTTCTGGCCATACGTATATATTTTACAATCTTTGTGCTTCCTCAGGACAAATGTTTTGTCACCATTACTCACCTGTGAATAATGGCAAAATACAATGTCATGGGCTACTGGAAAAAGTAGCGGCAGAACTATTTCTGGACAAGTCTTTGAAACTGCCCTGCTCTTACAGCATTTAGCCCATAAAATGGGTTTTAGAAATAACTCAAGGAGTACAGAAAGTCAGTTATTAAGTGTATGTGTTCAAAAGGAAACAAGTCAAGAACAATAATGGATATAGAAAGAGTATTTTCTTCAGACAAGTGTTTAATTTTTCATTACATAAGACAAAAGACTTTTGAATATATTTTCAAGTGCTGAAAAGCTCCACTTCTCTTGCATCCCCACATTTCTGATAATTGATAGATTACAGATATATTTAGTTTTAATTTGAACCAATTTCCTTGCACTTTATTTATACAGTTGAATGCACACTGATTAATGGCATTTCTCAACTGAAATTGATGAGGTTTTTTTATTTCTTTCTATATACTGGTTGAATATGAAACAGAAGATAAATAAAAAAACCACCTTTGTTTCTCAAATAATAATGCAAATGAGAACAGTGCAGACTGTTCCAGTTCAGTACAGTGACAAAGAAAGGATATTGTCACTACTGCTTTGTGTTTTCTTTGCAAAACTGCAGGAAGTGGTATTCTATCCATGTAGAAAGACCAAAGTAAAGACTTTTCAAACTGAAGTCAATTTCTGAGGCTTCCAATCCTTTCAAGCTCTTTCATCTCATCTCATGCAGAAAAGTGTTGAGTTTTAAGAAAGTCCATCATCACACAGCAGCCGGAAATACATAGATGTAAGAGATGTCAGTGAATGTTCTAACAAGTGATCAAGCAAGAGCCAGATCAACTTTTAAAAGTTAACATATCTGCTGTTTCTCTGATGAACCCTAAGCAACCAAATTCCTTCCAGGGAGATGCAAGATACTGAATTTGTGAAAGGCCATTTCTAGGAGAGGTGAACAAACAGTGATGCAGCCACATTTTAGCAGACATTAAAGTGTTTCTTTTTTTTTAAGAAAAATTAATGCAGATGAGTTTCAAAAGGAAAGGAGAACAGTTTGGAGAACAGTTATATTGCAAATGGTGTAGAAAGCACATAAGAAAAGAGTAAGTGAAAGAAAATGAGAGAAAGCATCCTGAACAGCTAAAAAATCTCTCTTCAGAGATATACATTGTACTATGAAGACACCTTGTTCTGTGATGTGTGTATTCAATTCACAGCAATATTTTATCCCAAGAAGATGCCGTCATTAACCAAACACTGATCTCTCTCATTACACAGTAAATGGTGATGATTAAGCTGACACCTCTTTGCTTACATGTATTTATTCAAATGGCTCAGGTGGGTAAAAAAATATAGACAGAACATTTTTTTCAAGACAGTGATTTGGGATTCTCAGCAAGGATTTCAAAATACATGGAGTACAGTGCAAAAACATCTTCCAATTTTTTTTTTAAGTACTTGGAAAATTACTTGCATTATATGAATCTACGTCTAGCCTACAGATCCTGCATGTCCTTAAGAGAAGGCATGTAGCATATCAAGTGACCCTTTTAGTCTCAGTGAACTGGACTTTCAGTAAAAAACATCAATTTTTAATTACTATTGGGCTAAAACCCAGGCACTTCCTTCATATTCAGCATTGAATATGTTAATGTTAATTTCTATTTTTCCTCTGACATTTCTGACACTTGCACTTACTGTTTCAATGATATTTTGAATTAATAGTTCATTACAATTCAATCCTCTTAAAAGAATGCTATGCAATAAATTGACAGTGTACAACTATAATCAGTTGATGCTAGATTAAAAAGCTTCACATAGCAGTACACTTGGAAATGATTAGGACCTATGTCAAAAACAGCAAAATATTTTTTGTGTGTGTTACTGATTAACTGGAGAGTTTAACAGCAGATCTAACTGCACACCAGCTAGTAGTGTTGTAGAAGGTTCAATAGCTGTTCAGTCAGCTACACATTATTGACATAAACTTCTTTCAAACTTGGACATTTTGATTCCATTTCAACTGGGTGAAGATATCTAACATAGCAGTGAAATATATTAGCACTTTATTAATTCCATAGAGACACTCTTTCCCTGGGTGAACTGCCAAAAAAACCTCTCCAACATTTATCTCTTTCTGGAAGCTTAAACAATATGTACCCAAACTTGATCTTTCCCATTCAGTGCAGTAACATAAGAACCACTGAAGAAAATTTTTGGATGGATTAAGAAGGAAACTTTAATTAGGAAAATATTTGAATAATAAATTTTACAGACAATCATATGGACAATACAATCTTTATCTTGATATCACAGAACACCTCAGCACTATAGATTTACATTTCTATAAAAAGTATCCAAAATCCTATTGATATTGTATTTTTATGTAGTTTCACCAAATACATAAGCAATCATCTGAAGAGTAAAAAAAGTCAAGCGATGTCCAACAATACCTGTTTTGTCAGGTATTTTCACCTACCTCTGTTAATGGACAGTCTTTTGTAACTTATACTCAAGCCTCAGGACTCTGAACTTCCTAGTCAGTTCAGCTACCACTCCAAGTTCAGCTACCAAGCTCCAATAGATTCCATTAACATGAATTCAATAGACTCAGAGACCTTATCATATTGATAGCTGAGGGACCCAGTTTTAAGAATTAAAGTGTTTTGCTTCTCAAAAAAGATAGCTATCCATATTTTGGTATTTGCCAATTATCATTCCTGACTATCACCATGTAAGAAAGGATTTCTCCCTCTTAAACAACTATTAATGCTCCACTTGTGTACTTGTGACGTTCTACCTGGATCCTTAGTTTAGCAGAATACTGACAGAAATAACTGAATCATACGTAATAAAATCTAAAAAAAGGAACATATGAGTTACTTACATTTTTTACATCATTTTCATGGTGGAAGATATATTCAAACAATGCCTGCCAGAAAAAATATTTAAAACATTGTCATAATTGAAGAGAAAAATTTATAATATTCTTAGAGGAACACAGAATCTTGATTATGCTAAGCAGAAATTAATTCTTTGGGAAAACAATCATATTTACACATAACGAATACTGACATTTATATTTATTTAAGACTCCAATAGACAAAAACTATAGATATACTACACTGTGATCACAGGCAAGCAGCTTAATTCCTAATTTGTTGCAAAAGATTAGCAGAATTGCATCTTATTTTTGGTGCTTTACATCACTTTAAAACAAAAAAGGCAGCTATAACTTGAAAGTGAATATATATTTGAGAATCTGGAACCATTTTAATGACTTTTTACCTGTAAAATCAACCAGTGATCTAAAAAAACACTTTTTGCAATGCACACTCAGGTGCATACATAGTGCTAAATCTACTTAGATTTTTTTTATTTATTATGTTTATTAATAATGCAAGCTGTGCCTTCAGTGGAAATTTTTTTTAAGCTCTACAATATTTTGGTATCTGTAAAGGAAAAAAAAATTTTTTAAAATTGTTTGTAAATTATAAATAAATGTTAATAATATTGTGCTTCTGAAACTCAAACACACCATCATAATATCAAAGCTTAAAGAAGTCACATTCATCAGCTGCATTGTGGTTAACTGCTCATAAGCCCACAACAATTACACAGCAAAATAACTGCAGCTTTGTTTCCTCCTGTATGTAAAGCTAATTAAGTCATACTATCTTGTAGTTCTTCTGCACTAGAATATTAGATGAGTATATATCAGGTAATGGCGGTGGCATTTTCAGTGAATTAAATGACATTGAAAGATACTTGATAACTAAATGGAGACTGGAAGCCTCTGCTCCCAAAAATGTATTATGGGTGCTAGTAACACAAGGTTCAATTGAGTTGAACCTTGACCTTCTTCTGCATCCAAATCCTAGGTCTTAATTGCTTAAAAGGAACAGAACGTTTTTCTAAATTTGTTTAATTCATTCTAAAAAACCAGGAGAAAATATTGTCCTGTGAGGAAAGAAATACAGAAAAAGACCTCAGTCTCCTAAGGGCTTCCATGACACTTCTGCCAGATTTTCTTAGACAAAATTTTTAAAATATTTACCTTTAGGAAACTAGAGAATTACTAATCTTGTGAGGAAAATAAACCACAACCTACTTTTCTTCTAGTTTCAGTCAGAAAAGACTCTGAACAGATGATTAAAAGACATTAAACATTTATAAATAGTAACACATTTATAAGAAGCTTAGAATATGTAGATAAGAAAAGAATAGAAAGTAAAGAAGTAGTGGAACATTTTCTCCTCTAGTTCAATAACAGAGAAGCATTCAGTAAAAGTGTGTAAATCTAAAGAGACAAAAAACATGTTTTCTTGCATGGCAGGCATGAGGAATTTACTGCTGTTATGCACAGACTCTGACCTTCAAAAGGATTTAAGTGACTGAACATTCACTTGGATAAAAATATCTAGAGTTATCTTGGTAAGTCTATTAAAAATCCACAAGATAAAAAAGATAAAACTTTCTGTTTCATACCAGAAAATAGTTGTTAACTGGGATTTACCAGAGGCTTTCTCTGGTGACAGGTGATACCTTATATGTCTACACTGGTGTTGCCTGGAATAGTCTTTAACATGGTTAATGTTAGTCAAAGACAAGCCACATTTCTGTGGCTATACTTCAAAACACTGGAAAACCTTATACAGATAATCTAACTTCAAAAAAGATACAGTGAGGCTACTTTGCAAACACATAAGGAAGAAGTATGTAGGAGGTGTTCATATACAAACATGAATAGACTGGCAAATTATGTGAACTCAATAGCTGCAAGGTTTATCACCTTTATACGCTTGGAGAGGCGACAGCTGAAAAAAGTTTTAAAACTTTAATAAATTATTCTTAACAGAGAGTTCAGTCTGCATTCTCACCTCCTGCTTTAGCTTTAGCCTTAATGCTTTTTGTTTAAAAAAAAAAAACGTTATAAATCCATGTAGCTCCAAATTTAAACTTAGATTCATTCTGTATGAAATGTTAATGTCATAATGTATTAGCTTCATAATACTGACAAGCACACTTGCTGCCTATGGATGTTTCTATGACTGTTGATTTACATTTTCTGGCTTAAGCTTCTTTTCAAATGAAACTGAAAGGAAGACAAATCTGCCATAGAAAATGCTAATTAAAACCCAAAATTGTTAAAAATATATATGTTTCTCATTCCTGAGAGCCGTTGTTGAGAATATTTCCTCTGAAAGCTAACCTACCTACTTAAATAGCATGTAGTTAGCAATCACTATTAAAAGTTAGCTGTCTTCAAGAAGAAGAATTAAGCCCAGTTTTTATGGACGTGTCTTGTGCTTCTTAATCCTTCCCAGGTTTCTTACGTTCCTCCTGTTTTCCAGACAGTAATGGATTTATAATAATGTGTCTGCTGGCTGATTGCCAGCAGGGACATAATCGGACAAAAAGCACACAGTATTTTTTCAGTGCTGATAATGAACTGATTTGTAATTGCCCACAGATGTTAGTCTGGAAGTTTTCGATTACCTCACCAGACTAGATCTTACTATATTTGATACCTATTCTTCTGGTATAGAAGTTTGGTTAGGAGGCCAAGGGACAATGATGCAAGCAGTGGGTGAAGGACACAGTGCAATTACACAAGATTTATTTCCTTTGAAAACCACACTGAAATGAAATGCTCTACATCAGTCTAGATCAGACTTTAAAAAGCAAAGAAATGTCCTGGTTGCTTATGAAAAACTGTTAACCAAAGTTTTGGACTGGAAGAGCTATTTCCACTAGCACATTATCAGATACTGTCAGTTTTCTTAAGTGTTCACCATTATGTTTCTCAAAATAGACTGAATTCATATTGGTTTGTTCGCCTTTAGGCTGAGAGACAAATATAGCGCTCTAGGGTGTGTTTGATACTTTGTGCTCCCTAGAGATAATTCCTTGATACGTTGTGTAAAATGAGCTGTTTGCCTCAGTCCAACAGTTGTTCTTTATGAATGCACTATGCACAAAAAACATGTCCAACCATACAGATAACTGGATGTGTTGGGGAACGAAAGATTCAACTGAAAGGCAACAGAATTATAAATCTTCACACAGCTTTCAGCTCCCTGCCACTCAGAGCTGAAACCTGTAAGTTGGGCAGACAACCTGCAAAAACCTGTTCTGTTGTCAGACAGTTTCATTGACTGTCAATCAGATGATCTTAACTGAAAATGAAGTATTCTGAACAAAAAAATGGTACCTTTTTACATAAAAAGTGTTAACTCATGCCATAAAATCAAAGGAAAAAATCCAAAGATTGTGAACATTTTTAGGCCAGGATTGCCATCTATTTGTACACAGAACCACATTTCCAGACATTCAGAAAGGTTCTGCTGGTTTTTCACTCCTAGCTTTTTTTTTCTTTTTATAATTGCCCTTCATCACTCCTAGATGCACAGCTCAAAGTTATTTACCAGTAGAATATTTTTTCCCATATGAATATTTTTCCTAGGTATACTTTCACTATAATCTCTTTAGGCATATCTTCAATTTCAAGTCTGGTAAACACTGTCAAAAGATGGGTAACACACTTTTTTTCTGAAGTTAATATCTAAACCACTGTTCATCATTGTTTTTATCTCAAATCCCATATACAGTTACATTAGAAACCAGAAAACACAAAAAAGATATCACAACACTAACTAAAATTGTTACATACCTTTGCCAGTTTGGGTTTCTGAGCATATTTTGTTAAATTCAGTCGAGACAGATTTATGAAAGGGCCATCTGGATTTGTTAGCATTGAAGCCTGAGGGGGAAAAAAAGGCTTTTTAAGTGGGAAGATCCCCTACACTTTTCCTGAAGATTTTCAAAATATTATTAGTATACAAAAAAATCAGCCAAAATTCCAAACAAAACATTTGTAGACTCACTGCTCTACTATGCAGTACAGACTCTTTCTTCTCTGTCTCTCCCCACTATTTCCATACACTGCCTAAGCACATAACTTGGTAGTTGGGATACATAATGAAAAAAAAATCTTCAAGAAATACTTAGGAAGATTAGTTCTTACCTGCAATAGTGAGAAGATGCCACATTTTGCCATTAATGTGATTTTAATATGTATTACATATTCATGTTGGTTGCAGTTTATTAATTTTGCCAATAGAACAGGATAAATTAGCATAAACTATTCTCTTTATCTTTTCAAGTGACAGACACTGAGTGCTTATCAATTGTTTTGTAGTAGATACTTATGGTGAGATCATGTTACAGTCTTTGCATGGTCTTCCATTAATAAAAATGTTTCTCAAGGAGCCTATGAATTTGGAATTTATATGAATCCTGGTGAACTTGTGATTTTATGTAAATTTTTGTTTTATTATAAACAGACTAGCAAATGCCCAAGAAGTTATCTTTTCAAACTCTATTTTGAAAATAATTAAAATAATTAAAAATACTTGCCTCCTTCAAACTTGAGTTTAGATGCAGCTTTTAAGTAAACTATAGTGTCACTGTGCCAGATACTGTGACCAAGAAATCTTCCACTCTGGGAACAGGGGGAAGCAACTCACCGTGCCCAGCCTGACAAATCCTCCGGAAGCACTAGTGATTGGACGAGCTGTGAGTGCTGTTCGAGGCGTTCTTATCGCCTGCTCCATGGTACTTGGCCGTCCACTTTGTGTGCTGGGTCTCACAAATCCTGTAATAGGTCTTCCTGACTGAGTTATTGGCCTGAAGATGTTAAGTACATTATCCTTACTTACTTAGTAGTATTTATTAATAGAGAATTTAAACAGTTATACCTGAAGCATTTAATTTTCAGAAGTTAAGTTTATGATTTCTTAATTTAACTCATCACATTTTTAAAAATAAACTAGCACATACCTAACAGCTGGGCTGGGGCCTCCACCTTGGCTAGTTCCAGGAAGTTTCAAAGATGTTCCCGGTCCTACAAAATAATAGCATTTCTCCCTTCACTTTGAGATATTACTCCCTTGTCCAGATGACTTCAAACATGATTGTGTTTTATGATAAACAGTAAGACAGAAATTTATTTACTCAAACTGATGGGACAAAGAACTAAACAAAGAAGACAAACCCCAAATATTGCATTCTATTACTGATAAATTGATAGACTATTGCAAGAAACCCGCGAAACAATGAATATTGGTTTTCTTTCTTTCACCCTCACCGTTCTCTTCTCCATCCCACCTAGGGGGAGTGAACAACTGCCTGTGTGGATGCCTACTGGGGTTGAACCAAACAATTGTCAAGAACATCTTAGAAATACCACACAGTGCTAAAGAAGGTTACTGAAACCATGAGATCAGGCTAACTCGAAATGGTACATTTTCTATCTGGCACCCAGACTTGAGTAAGTAAATCTAAACCTTCACCTACAGAGCAGATGGAGAATGGTATCTCATGACACTAGACCATGGTAAGATCCCCCTTACAATTTAGAGCACTGCAAAGTTAAGAACACATCCATATCCAAAGGTCATCAGTGAAAACACAACCAGCTTGAGCCCAGGTGAACTGATGAAGGATTCTTCTGTTCATAAAGATCTTGTACTTTTTTTGTACAGGCACACCTAGCAGATTTGAAGCATGAACAGCAAAGTCTTATCTCAATGATTCAGAAGTGCAGGCTACACTATTGTAATAATTTTCTTTGGTTTTGAAATCTATGACACACTATCCAGAAAGTCACCTTTTTTTCAGTTTCAACATAGTCTGAATATATTTTTCCAGAATGTCTTATTTCTAAATAGTATTCATGAAATCATTTTTCTTGGAAGATAATCTCTTCAGGGGGCATAAAATCAAATAAAACCTCTAAATTTTATTACAATGGTGTTTTAAGACAGATATCTATAATTAGTTGATCATAATGTATAAACACATCTCCACTACTGCTTGACTGTGACTAAGCATGCAATGAAAATTTTAAAAAATGTCATCAGATAGATATGCAATTGCCTACATCTATCCAGACAGAAAAACCTTTTAACACTTCAAGTATCAGTTCTGGCCTATGTCCATTTCTTCTCTTGAATTCCTTTTCATGGTATGTGGTAGAAAGCCACGCTTAATAAGTTACATAAAAATTTCCATGTAGACTATACTAAAGAAACAGAAAAAGTTACAAGTAATGCTAAAAAAAGTAGTGGAAGACAACTAATTATTGACAATTTGGAAGGGAAATGATGAAGCTGAAAAAGAATTGTATAGAAGAATCAATGGCAGAACTGAAGAACTGCACTGTGAAGGAAGAGAAGAATGAAGTAGAGAAAAGCAGAAGAAAGAAAAATCAGTTGAGATAATGTTTGCAGGACATGATGCCAAAAGGTGGTATCTGGCTAAGGCACATGGATAAGGCATATGGATAAAACTGATAGTACACTGCAAGCAGATTTTTTTCTCTAGTTTTCCACAGTGCCTGAAGAAGACAGAAAGGAGTAAAAGAAATTAACATACTGATGGAAAAAGTAAGTGACCACTTATATGCTCACTACACTTCCTCAAATGTAGGGGAAAAGCTAACAAAACACAATTGAGCATGGTCTGAACTCATCTGACAGGCCTAAGTACTACATCAAGAACACATGGTGGATCTCAACATTGCCATGCAACCATAAAACAATCTAAAACACTTTTTTAACCAATACTTAAGGTCATCTCAGTTTGTACTATTGTATGGTAGATGACATAAGAGATGGCCAAAAGAGTTCTTGTTGAGTCAATGTATTTAAGTGAAAGTCAATCTTACGTGCAACTTGAGCAATGGCATTTTCATCCAGGATCATCTCTGCAATTCCTTCTTGATCCATATCAATTTCATCTACATACACCATTTCTGTCAAAGCTCGTGTTTTCAGGTTCCAGGCAGCCTGAATAAGGATAAGTAAAAAGTAAAATATCTTCAAGACACTAAGTAAATAATCTAATCAGCAATTTTATCACTTATTATTCACATCACAGTTTTATTAGGCTTGAATAAGGTACTGACTTAAAACATCTGAGTATATCCATCTGTCTGATGGAGGTATAAAAGGAGACTAAGTCCTTTGTTCAAAGCATTAGCTGTAAAACACTGTATGAATATATATCCTGGGCATTTAAGATTATGAGTTGATTGGAATAATTAATCATTAATTATAATTATTAATTATTTGGAATACATTTTAGTGACCTGAACTGACAAATTACTACATTGTATGTTTTGGAGGATAATCTGAACAGTGTGGAAAGGCAAGCATAACTCTAGTCTATGTGACAATTATGGCATAGACTGCGGAGACAGCAAATCAGTGGGGAGAAAAAAAGAACAAGAAAAATCAGTAGCAGCCATATAGAAATACCAACAAAGTAAGTACAGGTCCAACCACTTTGATGATTTTGATATGCTTGTAATGTAGTCACAGAACTGGCATGATAAAGGAAGCCACAAGACCAATCCTTGATCTTTCATCAGCTATAGAACAGATCATCATAAATTTTCCAGAGTAAAAATCACTGCCAAAAAAATTGTTTCCTTTCTAACAAGGAGTACAGCAATCTGGTGGAACAGCATATTTAATATTGGCTAAGGAGACCTTTCAAAATGGAAACAGACTGATGCTGTCTTAATAGAAATAAAGGTCAAACACATGGAAATGTTTGTTCCTTAAGTAAGAGGTATAAGAAGATCTGAAACTCAGGCTTATTTAATAATTTAAGTAATCATTTAATGAGATACTTCTCATTCATCCTGTCTTTTCCTCTAGACTTCCCCTATACTTCTATGCAAATTTATGTCAATCAAAAAGAGTGTATCTAAAGATGCTGAAATATTTAACTATTCTTTTAAAAAGTGCTTTCTTCGAAACAGAAGTAAAGGAGGCCTTCAGCCAGCTGATTCAACCACAATTAGAAATCTTTGTTCAAGAATGAAGAGGAGGGAATTCAGCAGGATGATCTGAATCTAGGCCAGACAGTCATAATCCAGATCTGCTTTATTTTCTTTTAGTTTCTTCTTATGTAGTAGGATGACAGGCTTTAATTAATGCTGAGATTTCTGTTAGATGTTCAACACTTTTAACAGTTTTTCATGATTCTATGAAGTATTTAGTTTGTTGAATTTTTAATACCTTGATGGTACTCTGTTCTTTTCAAAGACAAGTATACCTGCAGTCAACATAACCATGTCTATATAGGGAATATGTTCCAATTAGAGCTCTTGTATAGCCAAGCACAGGCTAATTTCTTACTAGAAGTAAGAAAATCTGCCCACAGCAATGATATTTTTCTGGAAACTGGAAGTAGTAACTCCTCTACACTAAATGCTAAAACTGAGGTTAGCTCTTTACATAGGCATAACTGTATTATTGTGATTTTTCCACTAACTAGCATGTGAAAATGTGTTTTTAAAATCAACATCTCTTTGTCATTACTGGGCAAATATCTGTCATAAAGAATACATTCCTTAGGCATCTCTTCCAGTATAAAACTCCTAGTCCAAGGTTTCACAGCCAACAAAAAATTCAAATATCACACAGTATTCCTTAATTAAACATCTGTTTGTAGTTTACAGTTTATCTGCTTTCTTTTTGTGGGACAAATAATTTTGTTTTGTGATAAGCACCATGTCTGGAGCTTATGAAGATAAACTGCATTTTTATGAAACAGCATTTATATGGTAGAAAAAAGAAAGGGAAGCTCATTTCAGACAACTGACATATTCACAACATAACAAATTAAGCTTACTTAACTTGTAATCAGAACAAAATTTACAATCCCTAATAGCAATTAAGGAAATGTGATACAGTATATAAATATACAGTATACAGTATGTAAGTCTAAACTCCAGAAAGAGAAGTGGCAGTGTTTTTCACTCAGTTTATGAGAAGTATGTAACTCAATTGAATATTTTCTTCTTGTTCATGAAAAGTACAAAAACCAAATTAAAAATATAAACTTAGTATTTAAATTTAAATGTTTTCTCTGAACATGGCAATAAACTTTTCTAAGAGGTTGCATTCTCCAGTAATCCTTTCTATTATAATAAATTTTACTCCATACACAATGAAAACCCAGAACACAACTACATTGTGAAGGGTAATAAATACACTCAAGAAGATATCCAGCAGTGCTTCAGAGAAACCATTCTCTATGTAAACAACTTGCATGAATTCATGGATTGTAATTAAAGACCTGTAAAATATATTAAGGAGCTGTATTTAAAGCTGCCATTTCACATTGCATTTCATCTCTTCTGACTGTGGGCTGAAGCCAAAAGATACCATCACCTGCACAATACTATTCTTGCCATTGCAATAATCAAGAGCTAATATGGGCAGAGTGAAAATTCATTAATTACTCTCAATCTTCCAACACTCATGCAAATCATCATAATACACCTACAAGGTTACCAGATTCTACACAAGGTAGGCAGTGAGCCTGAGCTGCAAGAGCAGGAAGAGCATGGGTAAGAGCCCACCTCTACATGCATGAAATAAAACACAAAAGTGAGCCCTAAGAGCACAAACATTGTTCTATCTGTGAATACATGCTGTTTTCTTCCTAATCTCATCTGCAGATTAAGGTCATGCAGTTCAAGGTAGATTCAATTTAGTTTTCAGAAAGCATTGAACTGCTGAATAAAGATATAAGAAGAATATGAGAGAAACAAAATTCTATCAAATATAAAAGCTACCTGTTCAAAATATCAAAAATCTTCCCCTTATCAAATATAATGCCTTACCAATACAAAAAAAAAAAAAGCTATTGAAGACTTAGCAAAAAAACAAGTATTATTCAGTATATCAGAAATTCTTCCCAATGATTGCATCTAATAATTGTATTTATGGAAAGAACTTTACCTGAAACACAGTGTATTCAGAATCAAGCTCCTGAAAAGAGAGAAAATGGAAACTGAGAAATGGAAATGCCAGACAATAAAAACATACAAGTGCACTTATACTCTGTCATGACTTCATTTTGCACAAATATTTTCTGATACATATACCGAAATTTCCATTTTATGACATTATCTAAACTTATACACATTATGAAGCTAATCAGTGTTTTGCACAATGAAAGTAAATTTGCAGTAAGTGTATCTTTCTGATACCTTTGCTTTCTTGCTTCTGCTGGATCATCCTAGCCAAATCTTAGATTATCATTTAAGAATTATGAAGCTGAAAAATGATAGATTAAAAGAAAATTAACTTGGACGAAGTATTCAAATCTCCTAAAAATTAACCAGATTATCACACCAAGGTCTTTAGAATGCCTACTTAATAAAATCCATTTTTGCACACTTTTTTTAACTGCTCCTGGTGATCACAATGATACCACTCAAGAAGACAAAAGGAAATTTCAGTGCTTTTTCATGGCACTTTTATGATGAAAATGATGTATTCATTGTATTTGGCTAGCAATATTGCAAGCGGAATAAATGTCAAATTGACAGCCCATTGCACTACCCAAAAATCAAAAGAAAATCTACCAGATTAAGTTTATTGTAAGTAGAAAAGCTGGAACTTGCATCTACTTGAAAACTTCCATTAAAATTGAGTAAATACTGACAGGAAAAAAATTACTGCGTAATTATCATGTTTACATAATATTTAAACAACCCTTCAGGGCTTTTGCTGTTCGCTTCCAGGGACTGGAGATGAGTTTTTCCTAATGTCTTACTTTAGCTCTAGACAAGGAAGGTGGGAGATACATGTTACTTTCTCTAAATCACTATTAGTCTTTTGTAGCGTCAGATCATTTCTCCTAGAGGCAGTGAAAAATTTCTTGCATATCAGGCATTGTGCAAATCTATCACAGTTAAACCAACTATATCAGACTGAATATACAATCTTCAAGTAATTCAGACTACAAAGGTCTGAAGGTCTCTAGTCCAAAGCCCTCACAGCAAGGTCAGCTATGAGGTCAGTTGAGGTTGCTCAAAGTCTTGTCCAGTTGGGTGGAGGTGCACAATGCCATTGGGCAACCATTTCCACTGCTGACTGTCCTTACCAGGAAAGTTTTTCCTCATACCAAGCCAAAGCCTCCACTTCCCTGCATCATTGCAAGTGGTCTCTGGCTCCATTTTCTTGATAACCTCCTTGTATGTATTAGTAAGCTGCTATTAGATCACACCAATGTCTTCTCCCAGCTGAAGCACTGCCCTGCTGCTGGTTTGCTTTGCAGCCAAGATTGTCTGGCTTCAGAGCTGGCTTCTTTCTGTTCCATCAGGAGAATGGCAATGTTAAGATCATTCCTCTGTAGCATGAGACATGACTTAATTCTTTCAAATTGAACATTTTTACTCGGTAAATTCCATGACAGCAGGGACCTGTACTACTGGTGAAGGACATCTTCCTTCTGTAGTGTACTGGAATTTGTGGCCTTTAAAGAATTGCACTGGGAGCCAAAAAGTTTTTCAATTGTGTTAGAATGTATAACACGTCTTACACTGAGTATTCTGTGGAACTAAACATTAATTCAGGGATTAATCTCAGTTGACTGTGATGTACCTGGGCCTGACTAAGGCTCTGAAACTGGTTTTGCATTTTAGGTGTATGATTGTCCTGGAGTGACATTAAATAAATTACTACAATTCTTTTATGTATAGCAGTTGTTTTCTAAAATAAGAAACTATTCAGCTTTCTAATTAATAAAGGACATTGAGATATTTCAGTTTGCATTTTATCTACCCCATTGTGTCTGAATATTACAGCCCATATGAAAATGGTTTTAAGAACATTAGATGGTCTTCCATACCATATGTGCTACATTAACTAATGAGGACAAGTTAGGAATATTATGTCAACACTAATACTAAATGCCTTGATGTTACAGATGTGTATCTTACTTTAGGCACTGTTCATTAGTTCAAAAAATAATTGAAAAACCAAAAAAATTTGTTTATGTAGGATCACTTATACTAATATAAAATTCAGAAATTACATCCCTCATAATCTGGCAAAAAAGTAGAGATGATCAATAATACTAAAACCATTGCATTCTCATAATTGTAGGTGAGAGTATGCATTGTTTATACATACTAATACATTGTTTCTGTTTTTGACAAGAAGTAACTTGTGATTTTAAATAACTGTCAAGCGGGTAATGGGACCCTCAGATTAAACAAAAGAATGGAATAACAAAAGTTACATTAAAATATAATATACTTTAACATGGGTGGATCCAACAGTTGCTACACATGCAAGTAAGCCACAGGAACTATATTTCAAATAGAGTTCTTTGAGAGGATTAACAAATAGAATTGCCCTGTAAGCTTGTCTCTCAAAACAAAAGCTCAAATTTATTCTTCATTTACACATAAAGCTCCCTTGAAAGTCAAAAGATTGTAAAAGCAATGAAGGAACTATTTCATCCAGATCCCTAAATCCACTGAGGGCACTTTAATATTAAAATGTAAAGTCAAGATTATTTGAATACCAAAAATACTTAAAAAAATTAAGTTTTATGATGCTTATAGTCTAGAAGAGGGAATATATTACATACCTTATATTATAATATGGCTTCACTCTACAACTAGTTTCAGGTGAGTATAATTTAATACATTCAAAATATTAAAATTATTATATTCTGAAAATGTTCTTCAAATTATTAAGAGCAGAAACACAGAAAAAAACCCCAAACCTTTACCCAGGAATGACTTCTCCCTAAGTATCACTATTTTCATGCATAGACTTACAGTCTCTTGCACCAATAAGTAATTTCAGTTGAAGATGCTTTGTCAAATCAAGTTCAATGCCCATAAATATAAGTGTGATAACTTTATTATGACCTTACAAAAACAAGTATGCAAATTATAGCAGCTGTAAGTTCAACATGGGAGAAGAAAGGATAAATGAACAAAAGCAAATCCTCATAGAAGATCATTAATTAAATTAAATTAAATTAAGAACATCCACTAGAAGTCTACAAATTATATTAGGCTTTTTTTTTTCTATTGTTAAACTAGAGCAGGCCTCATATATGGGTTCTGTTTATTGCCTTGAATCTGACATATGGAACACAAAGAGTAATCAGATTAGGTGACTAATCAGGATGATCAACAGAAACAGTCCTGGATTGTATTTCCTCTAGGTCATGCTATTACTATAAGCACAGAAGACAAGGCCTGTTTGCTTACAAAAGGAAATAATTAAACTGAATACCAGTATTTTACATGTTTCTATGCCCAAATGCTAGTCACACAAAATACAGTTTTTATTTATCCTGAGATAAGAATGTCAGCATAAAAGTGAATTCCACCTATACCATTTATATTCCTGATGCTTAAATGAAGAAATGCACAGGATATTTTATAGAAAAAAAAGTCAATCTTCCACAAGATATAATTCAGTAGCAGCTAATTATTCTTTTACCACAATGTTATTTATTAAGAACTCTTCAGGAAAACTTCTGATGTTGAAACATTTCAATTTTGTTGTGCTCTTTAAGAATTCAAGGTTTACAATGGCATGGTATTTGATACTGCTATGTGAGAAAATCTCTGATTCATGCCCAGTTAGCTAAAAGGTCAACAAAGTACTTAAAAAACCTCCTAGGGCTTACTGCATCTGGTGACAAGGTTCAAAGAGGGTACTGCACAATTAAGACAGCCTCTAAATGTATGTACATGTGACTATTGACTGGATCATCAGTAAACTTATTTTTAATATCTTTATATCATTTTTTGCCATGTTCTTAAAGGAGAACTTGTCATTATATTTGTGATACAAACATATCCTGAATACTCACCTATACACACAGGGACTGATAAATCAAGGTCAAGATACACTGCCAAGAAATTTTCTAACTACATTTTTAAGTGTGGTGGCAAAAATGCACCTACTTCTAAGGATATTGTAAAAAACTGGTTTCAGCAGCCCATAGCTCTAGGACAGTGCTGCAGATGCAACGGAGCAGGAGTGGTTTTATGATTTAGCAGACAAATTGGGAAAAAAGTGCAGGCTTTCACACAAGAAAGGCCACCTCTTTCAGGCATGAAAACACTCTCCAGTAAGGCATTGTCAGTCTCTTCCTTTCCTGCTGTTACATTACGTGTCTTAGAAGGGAGAAGTTCAATTGCCTGAGCATGAAAAAGTTCTGACCCGTAAGAGTCATTATTTAACTCAACCTATGCTTGTCTTTAAAGGACACCAGCTCCTGTAGCTTAAATTATATCCTAACTGCATGCTGTTCAAAGAAGTGAGTCCCTGAACAGAGACAGAGGCTACTGTTCCTACAAGATCCCTCTTTCCCTGGGAAGCAGAGCTTGGGAAGCACATGCTTAGCAGAATATGGGACAAGAGGATAAGAACAGACGGCACAGTGATTACAGCCGTTGAGTATTCCCTTGTGCTGCACAGCAGCTCACTTAATCCAAACTTTCTGCAAGTGTTGTCATTTGTCTGTCTGCTTTCCTAGTGCCCAACATGACATATCTTGGGTTGATTTGCAGAAGTGCCACCGTTAAGAGTCTGACCATTAAATCTGCTATAATTGCTATGTGTTTTTTAAGCATTATAAACCACACTTACAGGTTTAGGTACCAAAATGGTACATACTTCATTTTAGATAATTTGCCAGCTTATATTAAAATACTACTAATGTAATTCACACAGATGGAAAACAGCACCATTTTTTAGTAGGTGGATGAAGACGACAGAATTAAAGTACAATCAAAATATTTAGGAACTACTGCTTTCATTAACATGCCATTTCAAAAGCAACAGATACCAGAAATCAAAGTGAAACTTCCTGAGAATGATCCTGGACTCTCAATTAATGTGGAAATAAAATACTCATAGATCACTTTTCTAATATTCACAACTACAGCGAATTAGCTGTTGGAATAAATTCAGAATAATGTAAAATAGGATTAGACTAGGCAAGCCAGGTAATTAAGTAATATATGTCACTTATTTCAGTTCTAATTACCTCAGTGTTCAGCCTTGGATCTTATTACCTTTCAAAGATAATTATTTTTAGAAAAATAATGATTTTATTAAATGCGAGGCATATATACTACAATCCATAAACATGATTCAGTTTTTCATTCTGTTGTATTAAGTAAGTTCAGAATAGTTTGTAAGACATATAAAATATATTCTTGAGGCATGTTATTACTTCTCTTACTCCATGCCTGAAGTTTAGTAGGGTAAAGAGGACAGACTGGTACCTGAAAGTAGCAAGTGTCAGAAAGTAATGAGCTGAAAGAGCAACAACATGGGTAAGGAAAACATCTTTACAAAAGGGAAGCAGAATAATAAAATAAATACAGGCCTATTTGGACATATAACCAGAAAATATTAGGATTTTAAGTTGATTACAATAAAAAGGGTAACATCTAAATAACATGAACACAGTTGACTGACAAAGATAATGCCGTTCCATGTTAAGTTTGCCATGGATATTAAAGTTATATTCTAATTAGACAATCAAAAAATGTTTTGTTGAAGAGACTTTAGGTGTAACATTTTGTATGTTGAGCTGGTTTGAGTTTGGTCCAAGCTGCACTCTTGAAAGTTATTTAACCAATATTCTGGTTTCTGCAACCTGCTGTACCACAATGAAGAGGTGGCATAAATAATGCTACATCTTCTCCTGTCAGAAGGGTGTTTTTTGTCTGGACTACCAGAGAGGAATGATTGAAAAGAGCTGTGTAGCCATTCCATTACACACCATGAATGTAATATACTCCATGATGCTTCTGAAACAACATGATGAATTTCCATTTATTTATCATCTCTCCACTTATTTTAGTCTTAAGAAAATCTCTAAATTGTTATTCCTTATATGAAATACTTCTAGAGTAAAATCCACTAGGTGTTTGCAAACTTTACTTGAACATTGCTGTATGAAATATTTTCAAAGACTGAAACATCCTGTCATGCATTTTTAAATGTTATAAAAACTGATATTTCCCAATCTCAAATAGATATACTTTCAAATACTTTAGAAGTCATTAACTCCTGCTTAAAATGAGCTCTTAATAAGGATTCCTCAAGAAGATTATATGAGGAAAGAACCACACTAATCTTATTTCAAGTTTGCCTCTCTTACATCTGAACCGTCTGGTAGGTTTGAAATGTGCTGCTGCAGGAGAGTACCTTTTTCACACAAAACTGTGAATAGCAACACAGTTCTGAAACTAACATACTGAAGTTATAAAGTCCTGTCATTTGCATGTAACTGTGACCTGAAAGTTTTTTCAAAATAGTGATGAAACTTGATCTTGAAATTCAAAGACTTCACATAAGACTTCTAAGAGCTTATCATTTGATCTGGTATAGACAATGTTCACAACCCCACCCTCCACCATTTCTCAAAGGGAATGCTCTTTAATGTTTTTTCTCTTTCATTCTTATAAAAAATTAAGCTTATAGGCTGGTGTGAACATTTCAAAGATTAAATTAAGTGATCAATTGTTTGTCTCAATACAGAATTTGGAAAAACTCTCATATTGCTGGTATATAAGGTCCTTATTCTCGAAGGAGAATGTGTACCTTGTCTAAGACAATTTAATTTATGTACTTAAGTGTTTCACCATGTGTGATCTATATTTGGAAGAAGGAAAACCAATTAGTATCTACATCAGAGAATCACAGAATGTAAAGGATTTGAAATGGACCTTAAAGATGATCTAGTTCCACCCTGCCCTTGCCAATGACAGGGACATCTTCCAGCAAACCAGATTGTTCAAGGCCTTATCCAAGTAGATCCTCTCATTGCTGTTTTTAAATTTCCTCCTTAGCATTTTTTCTCAGCCTCATACATCTTCTATTCCTTACTAGTGCTACTGGAAACAGCCCAGCGGAAGCTTGGACTTCACAGGTGTAACAATACCATTTTATACTTGAGCTTAAGCACAGAGCAGAAATGCAGTTGTCTTTACATTCCTATGTTGAGATCATAGATAGAAAAACATTTTACTCATTAAAAACTTAATAAATTAAGACCAACAGAAGCATTATGATCTTTACAACTTTTATTTACTGTTATTTGCACTATTTCAAGAGTTTCTTTCATAAATCAAGTGTTGTCCTTCCATATGCAAAGATCACATAAAAATAAGACCCAATAATGTAAATACATAGAAATAATACAGCACTAGCATGGAACTAACAACGACTCTCATTTAGGGTTCAGCAATAATGTTCTTGGAATACTTTCTCCACTAAAAATGTTTCTGCTGATGGCTTCTTGTTGGTGCCTTACAGTATAAAACATTTAAAAAATAATCATTTAAACACCTATCCTAAACCAGTTCAAATAATTACTGTGCTTTATATTTGCACTATTGTGTGACCATGCAGCTTTCTTGAAAGACCTGTCCTTTATGATAAAAAGAACTGCGTTCAAGATTATTAAAAAATCTGTCTATAGGATGCTTTGAAAGACTTATAAATTTACTGTAAAGTGTTTAAGATGAAGTCTGTTCAGTTACTGTTTTTAAAATATGGCATAAAAAATGTTTACATGCATGGAAACATTAATCCAGAAACAACTTTATCAAATCCTTTGCTCTTACAAAAGGGTGAGAAAATACGTAGGTATTGAAGACTGCAGCTGGAAAAAGAGCAAAGAGAGAGATAAGCGAACGCCTCCTGCCTCATGTCCCAAGGTAGGGCTCGTAGGTAAGCCGAGCTAAAATGCATGTCTCTTAACCTCATGTGATTTGGGCCACGCAGCAGCTAAACATCAGTATAAAATCAACAGGAACATCCCTAGCAGACCTGATTTTTAATCTCAGCTTTTCTCCCTTAAACTCAGCAAAATCTTGAGTGCTTTAGAGCTCTAGTCGCGAAGAGCCTGGCCGCCGCAGCTGTCACAGCAGAGCTCGGCAGTACCGGAGCGCTCCCCCGCTCCCACCTCCGGGCCCGGGCGGGCTCCGCGGGGCGTGTCTGAGGCGGAGCCGCAGCGCCGGCTCACCGCTCCCAGCCTGAGGGGAGGGGGGAGCGCGGAGGGGCGGCGCTGCCCGGCCTCCTGCTCCGGGAGCTAGGCACGGCCCGGTGCTCGCTGCCGGCCCCTCCGGCGGCTGCAGCAGGCACACATGGGTCCCGTGGTGCTGAGGCAGCCGGGACGAGGCCGCTGCCGCCCCTCACCGCGCCTCCCGCCACGGCCCGGCCCCCGCTACCTGCTCGCCGGGCGGCCTCTCCAGCAGCTGCGAGCAGACATCCGCGCACTCCCGGAACTTCCTCCGCCTGAAGTAGCTCCAGGCCTGGAACAGCGGCTCCAGCCCCATCTCGCCGGCGAGAGCAGCCCCAGAGGTCCGGCCGGGCCCCCGGCGCCTCCCGCCGCGCTGCCGCCGAGCGGGGCCGCGCTGGTGCTGCCGCGGAGCCGTCGGGCCCCGCCTCGGCCGGCTGGGGCGGAGCGCCGGGGCCGCGGGGGCGGCGGCTCCGGGCGGCCTCCGGGGGCCCTGCCGCTCCCGGCCGGCCGCCCTGCGAGCCCGGGCTCGGAGCTACGGCCCCGTTCTTGGCCGAGCCCCTCCCTGCCAGCGCCTCTCGTGGGCTTACTACATTGGTGGCTGAAAGCAGAGTTTGATTTGTAGTACTGGGATCAGTAGACTTCCCATAACCCCGCTGTTCTTAACTGTTGTCATTTTCTGTCCTCTTTTCTAGAGGAGTTAGAATAAATGCCTAAAAAAAAATAATACAGTCCATTAATCCGTATTTGGGTAAAATGTTCTTTAGAGCCATGGAGCCCTGGTTGAGAAAAGTACAGATTGTTGTGAACAACACTTTTCAGTCTTGTAGACTCTATCAGTTCCTTTAGTTCATTAGTTTTTGCAGGGAAAATTTCAGAGCAAGATATTTAGAGATTTAAAAGTTGGAATACAATTTCTATAGTTTATATGTACTATAAAATGGTGATTGCAACCACCAACCAAAGAAAAAGAAAAAATGCCTAGGGATACTTGGAGCAGTAACTGCATTTATGGTGTGAAAATCTTTGAGGTATGGACACTAACAAGATTGCTAAAATCACATTGTTGCCATTTAAAGAGATCATTCTGGTTTTATTGCTTTTGTCTCACCTAAACTATCAATTTGTCCAAGATGCATGAAATTAATACCCAGTCTCACAAGATCAATGTCAGGTGTAAAAATGGAGAAGCAGAAGTGGCTGTCCCAGGACTATCACTTATTCAAATATAGGAGTAAGTGGCTTGAACTGAAGTAGCAGTTATAGACAGCTTTGCTTTGGTTGTCCTGTGAACAGTGCACAGGTCTATTGGGTTTGCATGGCAAGGCTTTGGGTGAGAGCCCATATGAGTGGCTTCTGCAGTAAGCTGCTGAAAGCTTCCCCTATGTTCAATAGAACTGCTGGCCAAGGTCAATGATGGTAGCAACTCTGGAGGGAAAAAAGTAAAAAGGGGAGAAAAAAACTTGCACAAGTGCAGCTCAAGACAGGACTAAATATGTGAAACAACTATGAAGGCACAAGGTCAGTAAAGAAGAAGGGGAAGCAGTGCTCCTGGCACCAGAACAGAAATCCTGTAGCCTGTGGTGAGGACCATGGTGAGGCAGCTGTGCCTCTGCAGCCCATGGAGGACCACAGGGGAGCAGAGGAAGCCACCTGCCTGAAGGAAGCAGGTGGCTGCTCAGAGGAAGCTGTGACCCCATGGAAGGGTCACAGTTCTGAACTCAGATGGGTAGATACTGCTATATAGCTTCTCAGCAAGAGGAAGGGAAGATGGTTCTGATGCAATTTTTGTTTGTCATGCTGCTGGGAAAGGTATTCATTTCACTTAGTGATAAAGCTGAACTAATGTCATATGGTAGCAATTAGATCAACATGAATCTTCAGCTTTTTTACAATGAGATTTTGCAGTGTTGCAAATGACAGGAAAATCAATTTTCCTTCTTTCCAACCACCCCCTGCAAGGTTGTGGTTTTTTTCTCTGTTTGGTTGCAGACAAGGAGATTTTTTGCAGTCTCTATGTGATATATGAAGCCAGAAAATTTTTCTCTGGTATTGGCACACAGGTCATCCTATGCATATCATCTCTGAAGTCTTTTCCACTGATAATACTGCTTTTCACTTCCTGCATGGAGGAATATTCTGAGCTTTCTGATATGGGGATTTTCATTTATATTGATTATTGAAATCCCCAAATTTTAACTTTTAACCAGTAATTTCTCCAAATATTAATCTCTGTGGTTAGCCACATTCCACTTCTCTAACTTACCAAAATCCTGGAATACAACGCAAAGAGTCCCTGTGGCTGTCTCTGTGTGTTTTGTAGAGCCCTGTATGTCAGTCCCCCTCCAGTGTAGCTGCATGGAAGCTAAACAGCCAGGAATTATATTCAGGTCCTTCTGGAATAGGCTGCTCTAGTGTGGCCCCCCATGGGGTCATAAGTCCTACCATGAACCTGTTCCAGCATGGGCTCCTATCTCCATGAGGCCACAGGTCCTACAAGGAGCCTGCTCCAGCACAGGTTTGCCATGTGGCTGGAAGTGTTATCTATCACAAGACAGTTTTTCAGTGGCTTATGAGAAATCCGTGGTTGTTTTTAGTACCATTAGAAGTGCTTAAATCTCAATGTTCAGGAATTATTTTTGGCATACTTGTGTGTAGAGTGTGGAAAAATAATTATTTTGAATATGCTTTGTTTCTTTCCCAGAGGTCAGGGCTAAGACACTGTATGTAGTTTGCTAGAGCTATCCACTTATTTCACCCGCTCTCTCAAAATAGGAAAAGAAATTTTGTGGGAAGTTCAACAAAATTAATTTGGGGAATTATAGCTGAGATGCCCCTGATTTGTAGGAGAACAAATTGTAATTTTTCTGTTTTACATTGACAGAAAAAAAAAATCATAATTTAGTAATAGCAGCATACTGGGAGAGATTGTCTAGGTGGAAAAAACATTTTGCCATGCAAAATGTTACAAGTAGTGTCTGATTGTGTGGTATTATGAAAGGTGGAATGTGCCTGGCTTTAATGCAATGTAGGCTTGTCTGCATTTTTTTACCAGAAGTTTTGTAGTCTAGTGTAGTGGTTAGTCCTTTCCATTACCTTAGATAAAAATGCTTAATTGATCATAATAGTCAAATGTTCTCCAACTGTAATGAATTCCTTCATGTTTATTGAGTCAGTGCTATATTAGGACAATGATAGGTGTGTGACATAACTACAGAAATCACCAGGGTTTATTAAAGAAAAGTCATGTGCTTGTCTTGTGTAACTGTGCACATTCATTGTATTAGAGGTGACCTGATCTTAGCTGGGATGTTTTGAGTGACTACTCTCATCCTCTGCGAATGGACAGGAAATTTAGTGGTGCTGCTTTATTTACAGCTTGAGTATTGAGATGATATCACTGTCACATAGGTAATTTGAACCTCGGCTTCATTTCTTTGAACCAAGAATAAAAAATTCAGGAATCAGAAATAAGAATCAGTTCCTCTTCTTTCTATTATTTATTCTTAATTTGAAAACTAGTTGTCCCTGAGGTGGGCTGCAATAAAAACTCTCACTGTTGTTATTTATAGATTAAAATATCAGGGTGTTCTACTGAGCAGAATGAATTATTATATATAATATTATATAAATATTATATATATAATATAAACAATAAATAAAAAGAAAATATAATATAATAATTATTATCATCTTTATTCAGAAAATACATGGGTTTGTATAATTTCTTTTTTTATAGCATAGATCTTGTGACAACTATAACTGTGTACTGGATTTTAGTCATGTTTCAATTAACTGTTCAGTGCCTTGTCACTATTAAATGTTGCTTAGAGATTTAAATGTGCTTCACATTTTCACCTTTTATTTTATTAATTTTTTCACTTTTGCTGAGAAGGACACTTAAACTGATTCTGAATACTGAGTGGCTCTGAATGGATAGGTGTTTTTAAAGTTTTTCATCTTTATGCACTCCTCCAGAATAAATGGTTGAGATTCTAAAATGCTTTGCATTTTCGAAATGTTTTTATAACTTTTCTTTGCTGGTCTCTTTATATTAAGACTCTGAGTTTAAATATATCTAATGTACCATGAGATACATGAATTAGATTCTTATAAAGTATGTACAGAAGAGAGTAGGACCCATGAACACTTAATATACCTTTAATTTTACAAACATAGATGCTATAGGTTGACTTTGCCTCCCATACACTATAAGTGTCCCATGGGATTCTTCTGTGAACCAATCAGTCATACTTATTTCTTGAATTAGGAATGCTAATACTCAGCCTTATCTCTCCTTATGGATGCACATTCTTACCATAAAACCAGAAACAGAACCTCAGAATAGGTCCAAAAATTATGTTGATAGCTTAAAATTTCTTAGGCAGCTCTGAGGAGAAATGTCCTGTATCCCACAGTAGCTAACTCATTTAGATGCAGGCTACTGCTTCTGTCAGTTACTCATCTCCCTTGGGATATAAGATTACAGAAGAAAGATGTAGTTTGCAGCTCAATACAATTAACAAGGACTTGAAAACGAATATTGAAGTTGTGACACGTCTGCCTGCAGACTTCCTTAGGTGGAAATGTCTTGCTTACCTTTGAGCAAGAGTTGGCATCATGAATGTAGACATGTAAAAAAGGTTCATTCTGATGAGTCAGATACCTTTGATATCAGGAGAATTGAAAACAACAGAGCATAAAGCAGGTTTTGTTTTGTGTTCTTTGAAGGAACCCAAACAGGACTACAGATCAGGCCATGGCAGGGGAAGGCACACAGATATGGCAGAAGGGCACGAAGAGGAAGTTCCCTCTTCATGTGCTATTTTCAGCAAGGACTCTGACATCTGAGGCTGAGTTCACATACGTGCTTGTAGAACCCATTTCTTGCTGACTGTAGTAAAGTAAGAGATGTCGTGCCAATGAAATTGCATTAAGAGTAGAGTTTTGTTGTGAGGGATGGATTCACTGTCCAGGAAAGTAATTTGTAGCAACAGCTTCGGGTTTCATTCTATGACCAGCCAAGACAACAACATGCATCAATAGCAATTATTGCAATCATAAATAAGAATTCTACTGTTTCTTTCTTACCATACATGATATCCTAATCATGGTTACCATGGTCTAGCTGAAAAAGGACCATCCAGCAGTTGATAACAGAAATGAGGTGGCAGTAATGTTCAAGTCCTAAACATCAACCTTCCTTCACAGGACTTCGTGTCTGTCCTCTGTTATTTATTAATTTACTGAACCCACTCTTTGAAATCACACCCATACCTCCTTCAGAGTACAGGATGAATGGGATGCTTTTCAAGTGAGATTATTACCTTTGTTTTTGTCTGTAGTGCTTCCTATGAGGCACTATTTCTTGTTTG